CCTTGACATTCAGAAGCAAAGATATCCTGTAGAGGGCTCGGTGGGCGTGGCCATGGACTCTTTGCCGGCCCGTCCAGTTCGTGGACGATTTCGTCCTTGACATTCAGAGCAAAGACATCCTGTAGAGGGCTCGGTGGGCGTGGCCATGGACTCTCTGCGGACTCGTCCTGTGCACTGCCAATTTCAGGTCCAGCATCCGCAGCAACGACCCGCAGGGGAGCACTCGGTGGTTTCGTATTGGGGCGAGGGGCTGATGGTCGACTACTTTTTGAGTGTTGGAGATTTCCCGGTTTGTGCACCTTATGATCCCGAATCGTCTTTGTGTCAGTCTGTATCTCTACGTGCCTTGCAGTTTTCTTGTCCATGAGTTCTTTTATCTGAGTTTCAATTTGCGCTCCATTCTTTGCCTCAACATTAGTTTCCGTGTCGGTAGTCGTTTCTAGGTCCGTTGACACCCCCTTTTCCGGGAGGGTCTCTGCCCTCGTTTCCTCCTGTAAGTATCGCTGCAATCTAGGGGGGTCCTCCATCAGGTTTGTCGCTTCCGGTAAGTATTGCTTCAATCTAGGCAGACCCTCCTTCAAGTTTGTCGCTCCCCGTCTTGCTGTGTCCGATTTGGCCCCATTCTGTAAGGATATTTCCGGTGAGTGTTCGGCCACTTTTTTTACTTGCCTCGAGCCAACCTCCGCCTTCCTCAGGCCCACTCCCGCTAGCTTCAGGTTCCCGAGTGATCTCTTCGCGGCTTCAACTAGTCCAATGGGTGGTACATTTGTCTTACGCCATTTTGAATCGACCAGTAGCGAGGATCGAATCGCAGGGCCGTCCAGGTTTTCTGGATTGTCGCTGAGGATCTGAGAATCTGCATCGCTCGTCTGTCTCTCCGACATTCTGGTGGATCCCAGTAGGCTGCTCTCCTTCGACGAAAAACTTACGGACTTCTTTGAACGTCCTACTGGCTTCGGTCCGACCTTTCTCGCCCCCTTTAAATGGCTGGTGGCTCGCTTCTTATTTTGCGCTGGCGGCAGACTCACTCTAACTGACTCTTGGTTCAGCGACGCTGTCCCCTGCCGTTCTACAAGTGTTCTCTTCGCGGCACCAACTATTTCAAGCGGAGTTAACGATTGACTCTCTGAGTCATCCAAGTTCTGTCGACTATCCAGGTCCTGTCGACCACCCAAGTTCTGTCGACCATTTAGGTCCGGCGTTTTATTTGGACGGCCCGACAAACTCTGGCGCAACGCGGCGGCCTGAAAATTCGCTAAATCACCGAAATGCTTGTCGCCAAAATGCTCATCGCCAAAATGCCGGTAACCACTTAGATCATGACGGCCTGTCAAGTTCTCCGTGATTGCCTCAGAACTCAGTGCCCGGGCTTCGATGTTTTTATCCTGTACGTCCACGGGCGTTCTTGTCCAGAGCTTTTCCTTCGTTGAAGATCGATTTTCGGATATTCCGAAATTTTCTGCTTGGTCTCCATTTGCGCCGTGTCCGCCCATTCGATCTTGTTTCTGGTTTGCTGTCCCGTTCCGCTGTTCCAGAAGTGACCTCTTGGCGGCCGCAACGATTCCAACGGGAATTTCACTAACTGGGGAAGGAGTAGTCGGGGAAGGAGTCCGAGCCAGCTCTTGTCGGCCAAGCTGTTTTTCCGATCCAGCTAGAATTCGACCAGTAGCTAGATTATTATCGCTGCTTAGGTTCTGCCCAGTGTTCAAGTTCAGCGTTCCATGCAGGTCAGGTCCGTCTAGATCACGGCCCAGGCCAGGAGAGTCCAGGCCAGGAGAGTCCAGGCCAGGAGAGTCCAGGCCAGGAGAGTCCAGGTCAGGAGAGTCCAGGCCAGGAGAGTCCAGGCCAGGAGAGTCCAGGCCAGGAGAGTCCAGGTCAGGACGGCCGGATAAATTCTGACGCCATCGAGCATCGGGATTGACAGGAATTTGGCAACCGCCCAATTCCGAGGACTCACTGACACGCCGATGGCCAACCAGGCTCCCTGGACCTCCCGAAATCAACGTCGACGGTTCGGTGGTCGTCCCCTCGGAGTTCAACGGTGGTGAGCTACCTGCCAGAAGCGACTCAAACATCGGTGAATAACGGTTTTTGGATGTACTCGATTCAATGTAACTATTGGACTGTACGTTGCTCCTGAACTGAGTTTGCACAGTTTCTACTTGACCTTCAGTGTCCGTCATCGCCAGTGTTTCCGCGACCTCTTGCTGGCCTTTCGCCGGGTGATCCCTTCCGGCCGCCTCAGTGACCGAATTCTCCACTTCGCTTTCCGGCCGCTGGATAGTTCCCAGCGGCTCCTTCAGCTCCGCCTGCTGTTTGGGACCCTTCGTCGCAAATACCGTAGCTGAAGACAGAGTGGCTGACGATACCGCTCCTAGACCTGGCTGGCTCAAACCTTCGACGGAAGGCTGCAGCGTTTCTCGAGAGGAGTTGACCTCACCAATGGTGGATTTGCTGGCAGGGTTTACTTCGTCCCTTCTTGCTTTTTCCTCCGAGCGGACCAAAGACTGGTAAGCCTCCGGCAGCCGTGAACTCCCTAGCCCGCCCCCTTGGCTCGGCCCAAGCGATCGATTCTGCCACGACCCGCAATTTGACATTTGGCCTGCACCCATCGGACCTCTCATGGGGCCTGCCGCATACATGGGGCCTGCCGCATACATGGGGCCTGCCGCATACATGGGGCCTGTCGCATACATGGGGCCTGTCGCATACATGGGGCCTGCCGCATACATTGGACGAGCGCCATACGTCGAGCCAGCTCCCCATGTGGGACCAGCATACACACCGCCTCCCCATACGGGGCCGACCCGCCAGCGGGGGGCATCGAAAGTTTGAACCCGACGTTGCCTCATCAACTGGATCGCTCTGAGAAAGATGTTCTTCACTTCCGCCTTGGAACGCGGAGCTTTCGCAACCTTGTTCTTCTTGAGCTCGCGGATCACGAATCGTTTAATCCACTCCGGTAGCTTCTTGTACAATTTCTGGTAACCGGCCGACAGAGCCGAAACGGAAGCAGGCAGCTCAGCCGAAGGCACAGCCGCCAACGTGGGTGCAGCTGCCTTGGCAATGAACGCAATTCCGAGACCTTCCACATCTGGATTCAGCTGACTCTTGGTAGTCCTCATCGGGGGAATTTCTCAAGCGAAAACCCGACACCTGGGACTTCGGCGTTCCGTCCTTCTCTTTCCTCCTCCCCTGTTTCGGCGCTGATCCGTCGATCTCGTCCCTTTGGTCACGTCCCCTTGGGCCACGTGCCCTTGGGTCACGTGCCCTTGGGTCACGTCCCCTTGGGTCGCGTAGTCCTTCTTGGCATAGCCCTTCATCGCCCACCCCTTCTTCGATAAGTCCTTCGCTTCGTTGTTGGCAAAGCAGGTTCTATACCCAGCAGCTAGATCCGCCGTTGGGCATCCAACATAAGCTTGACACCGATGAGGGACGGGGCCAAATTCTCAGACAGCGTAATCCACACCCAGCTATCGTCACAACACCCGAATTACGATCGAGTTTGCGGAGACAACTAAGATGGCCTCGCAACCGGCACCACATCCATGACAAATACCATGCCCATGACTGATGCCACCCCTGTAGACATCTGCGCGTTTTTTTGGGGATCAATGTCTTTGTCATGGTCATCGTCGCAGTCCTCGACATGTGCTGATCCAACGAGATTTCCAATCGGATGCTCGGTATTATACCCTTCCCCCATTTATGAATGCCCGGACTATTTATCCCCCCCCAAAGCCTATTTATGTCCACTCCAGAGTCGCTGGTCCAGAGTCGCTGGTCCAGAGTCGCTGGTCCAGAGTCGCTGATTTCCTTGGTTGCAGGCACATGTAAAGGTCCCGGCGACGACTGCGAATGTGGGATGCGGATTTGATTGTTTCGGAATGGCTTTGGATCTGTGGTTGGAGGTGCACGTATGTGTGAGTGATACCTGGCTGGTGGAGGTGGGCGGCCAGGAGCCCGAAGGAATTTCATCAGACCCTGCTAAGAACCTAATTATCCGTCAGTTCCTCAATACTATCGAACGTCTGAACATGTGCTATGACGAGGGGTCCACGGCCTTCCGATTTCATATAAAGAACGATATCCCACTCTCGAGAGGGCTAGGGTCCTCTGCGGCAGCCATAGTCGCCGGCATCAGCACCGCCTACTCCATGGCTGGCTATTCTATCGACCAAAGGGACATCCAGGAAGAGATCGGGCTTCTCGCGACGCAAGTGGAAGGCCATCCGGACAACGCTCTCCCAGCGGCCTTGGGTGGATTCCAAATTGCAGTCTACCACCCGCGATCCTCACGCTCTTCCACTCTCTTGGAGCGGACTTTGGAAGAGGACTTTTCCAAATCGGACGGGATCTCGAAAGACTTGAACCTACCTGGACCTCCTCCACTGTTCCTTCAAAAGGATCCAGATGGAGGGCACCTAGAGAAAGGGGACATACAGAGAGCGCAGATACCTCTGGACGGAGCGCAGATACCTCTGGACGGAGCGCAGATACCTCTGGACGGAGCGCAGATACCTCTGGACGGAGCGCAGATACCTCTGGACGGAGCGCAGATACCTCTGGATGGAATGGAAACGCCTTCCACTCTCGGAACGACTCCGGTTAGAATGCCCGCAGAAGAAGCTCACAGTGAAGGTAAGGCAGTTACTGAAAACGGAGCTCAACGAATCCTGCCCAAGGTGGAAAGGAACCCCAGCAAGACAGACGCCAATGAGACACGCTCAAGTAAAACGGGAGTGAAGTTGGAGCCGGAGACACTCTTTAGACATTCCCTGAAGTTTCCGTCTGATGATCTTATTTGCATTGTACATATTCCTAATTCGAAATTGTCCACGGAGCTGGCAAGACAGCTACTCCCAGAGAAGTACGAGAGGGCCGTGTGCTCTAGAAACATTGCACGTGCATCACTTTTAGTGTCCTCTCTTATGTCGAGGTAAGAAGTTCCCGTGGGAAGGACTCCTCCCCCTCCTCCATGACACACACGTGTGTGTGTGCGTTCATATTATAGAGTAATGCAGCACCGAACGATTTCATCCTTGTTGATATGTAGGCAGTATCATTTGTTAGGTCCAGCTTTGGATGACGAAATTCATGAACCATATCGCCGAGGAGAGTGCAGGAGTTTTGCAGAGTTGAAAACATATGCCGCCGACCACACGAGTCCTGTACTCGGTGCCTTCTTGTCCGGGGCAGGACCATGCTCAATTCTATTTTGTGCTAGGGGTCTTGGACCCGCGGCGTTCGGGGATCTGAACCTGAAGATGCCACATTTGTCGGCAGCCGGTAGGTTCGTCATTTTGGACGTGGTCCTTGAAGGCCAGGCTCTGCAATCAGTAGCAAGCCAGCCCTGTAAGTAACATAGTAGAACCTCTTTTTATGAACCTGTTCGAAGCAGACGATGAGACTGAAGGTACGTTGCACACACGTGTGTGTCATAGATGTGTGCTCGGGAGTCGGGAGGGATGTGCGCAACACAAGTTTAAAGAGCCACCCCATACATCGCACCCGTATGCGTCCTGAGACCGACCGTTCTTTCCCGCAGGTGTTGTGCTAGACCAGTCCATGGATGCCCCTCCCCCAATCTATGCCTACGAAACGGCGTATAGATCCTCTGCAGGCTTGGAAACGGAAAATGACGTGGTCTTTGGCGATGAGAGTCAAGGCGATGAGAGTCAAGACCAGATATCTGGAGGTGATGAGGTGGAGATTGGTGACGAGGTGGAGATTGGTGACGAGGTGGAGATCGGTGGTGGCGACAGCGGAGACGACATGGAGAGTTTGGCGGGTGCGTTGGACGAGGAATTGACGGTGGAGGAGCGCGAGCAGCAGCGCGTAGCCAAGGCGGCTGCAAGTGGTCTGAATATGGCGAAGGAGGTGGTCAATTTGGAAGGGGACTATTGTAATAGTGTGTGCTTATGCGTGAGTAGCTTGCGATCGGTTATAGCAGGTGGTTTACAAGAGAGGGACATTTTAAGTTCGATGAAGAGGCTGTTAGATTTATGGAAGCATTCGTGGCGACCAGATTCTGAGTTGTTACAAGATACAGGTTGGGACGTGTCCATGCTGGCTAATCGGCGGGTAATCGAGAGGCTATTACTTGGACCGGACTTGGACTTCGCTTCTAATGTTCTCATTCCGTTACTTTTGTCCCATCATGACTCCGTTGTCGAGCATTCTATTCTACTCGCCCAACGGCTTTCCGAACCGCCACATCAAGACTTCATTTCTCTCTACCCCCAGAAGGATCTTGCCGACTACAACCGGAATTTACAACGCTTCAAGACTGCCCTTGTCCGGCCCCTGGTCGTAGCCGAGTGGAAGTCAACCGTCCTTAAACTCAAACAGGATATGGACCGCGGGGGCTTCAGTGCGTTAGACCTCGAACGGTTAGACTCCATCCAAACCCTCTTCGATCACACTCAGTCTACGGACCGAGTCTACCTTACTCGACGACACGTCGAACTCGGCCTCTATGACGAGTCCGAGGTACCCGCCGTACTCATGCAAGACACTAGTCTACAACCTAGTCAACTACAATCTACTCAACTACAATCTACTCAGCAATCCTTTCCTGACAAGGCTCGCTCCGTTATGGGGTCTCAGGTACTCGTCAGGTGTCGCCGTGAACTCGACGGACTGCAGACCAAGAAGCAGCAACGGAAGATCTTCATAAGCAAGATGATGCTTGCTATCAAACGGTTAATTGTCAACCTCCTTAACATCTGCACAGACTTCGGCAAGGACCTGGCCGCCGAAGATCACAATCTCAAGCTCATTGGCTACCTTCTTGACAATGACCTGCACGACCTCTTTCTTTCCGAGTGGAAGTGTCTCTGGGAGCACGAAGCCCACCTGCCCGACAAACGAATTGAAGAACGGAAGGACAATCAGGGCCTAATTTTAGGCAGCGATTGGTCTGTACGCAAACCTCCGAACCACATTCCCGACCCAGTTCTTCTCACCCCACCCCACCCCCCTGACCCCATCCCCCCCACCGCATTCTTCTCACCGCATACTTCTCGCGTTCTTCTCACTTCTCACGTCAGTTGTCTCACGTCAGTTGTATCAAATCTGATTTTAGATTTTATGGCGAGCCCTGGAGTTTCAATACCAATTGAGTCGTTATACGAGTCCTATCGAGATCGCGTTGGCGGCCAGCAACAAGCTGATGGGTGGGTCAGGTGAGTCAGGCTCAGGTGGGCCGGGTTCGGATGTGCCGGTTTCCGAGCTCTGTGGTTTCCAGGTTCGTCCTATCACGATTGCGGATACTGACAACTTACGGCGTTCTACAATATCCCGGTTGCAACGCCTAAGTTACAAACACCCTTGGGAGCGTCCCGGGGATCGTCAGCGGTTCACCAAAGTGATATCCTTAGTGCACAAAAACAGTAAGGCGGAGTTGATTGAGAGCGGCGAACTCCGGTACGGCTCGGAGGACGTGCTGAGAATCCTCTCTTCCGACTTTGACTCCCATGTGGGCGGTTCTGACTCCTATGTGGGCGGTTCTGACTCCCATGTGGGCGGTTCCCAGATGGGCTCACGCGTGGGCGGGAGACTTTTGGACGAGCAGGGGATGGGTCGTTGTGCGGACTTTATGGTGGAGTATCTGAGTCAAGGCGGCTTCGATAAGTTCTGGTCAGCATGGGTGCAGGATGTGGAGCAGCAGACGCTGGATTTTGAAGTGTCCGGTCCGAGTGTGTGTCGGATCATTAATGTGATGGTATGGACCTTGGCATTCACACTGTGTATTGCGTCTACGATCGCGGCCAATCTTCGGAACGCATCATTCAATCGGTTGCGTCTCGAGGACCGATTAACAGCGGTATGTTATTGGAGCCGTACAGGCTTCTCTACGAGGGCAATTAACTTCGCAAATGCGCGACTTGCACGGGAGTTACGGAAACAGGCCAAGGAAAAATGTCACGCTGTTGTCCGATGCACCACTCGACTTATGGTTGTTCAGAACGCATGGGCCCAATTCCTATTCACCACCTCCGCCAAACCCGTGCTCAAGGAGGTTGGAAAAGGCCTCTTTAACAACATATCCAAAAGTAAATGTCCTTCACACATGAGCGCCTTACTCCGTAAATATACCACCTCTAATGCTGAATTTGAACTGCTTATCTTCACCCTCCTGTGCATCGACCAACTCTCCACCGCCGCCGCGCAAATCAGTACCGTCGCCGATCGTACCCGACGGAAAGTCTACGCCAAAGGCAGAAGAGCCGGTGCCGCCGCGCAACTTGATTTCAACCTCGACGCCGACGGTGGTGACCCAAGTGGTGGTGGTGGTGGTAACCCAAGTGGTGGTGGTAACCCAAGTGGCGGTGGTGGTGGTGGCAACACCGGCGGGAGCCAGCAGGAAGCGGTGCGTCAGTGTCAGTCGTTGTTCCGGTACGCGGTGTGTGAACCACGCACGTTGTACAAGTTGTTGATTCTGGCGGCAAAGTCGAGTTTGTTACCTGAGGCTTTACGCCGTGCGGTGTTCGGTTTATTGGACTCGCTGGCCGGTACGGATATGGGGAGTGTTATTGCATGGGATCTGCAGCGTGCGGGTATCTTGCACGCGATCTTGACAAATCCGGATCCTTTGGCGAGCAGTGTGAAGCAAATTATTATGGAGTCGATTCGATTGTTGGCGAACACACATCGTGTGAACAAGTTTGTGACGTGTGAAACATTGTTTGGAGTCTGGCTGACGGATGGTGAGTATAGCGTGCAGGACATTCTGTCGCAATATGAACATACTGTTTCGAGAGCGGCGGCCGTCTCGGGATTGAGGGGAGTTAATTGGACTCTGGCGGATACCCGTCTGGTTATGCATGCGTATGAGAAGGCCAAGCATAGTGGCGGCCGAGGCGTACTCCGACAGATCCGTATAATGCTTGACCGTGATGAGTGGGAAGAGCGCGTTCGTGCACTCGACTTAGTGGATGAGATACTATTTGGCGAAACTACCAGCGCTTCTGCACAAAGGGATATCCGTATCTGTAACTGGATTCTACATGGAGTAGATGACAAAATCACCGACTCATATACCGTCGAACAACTCGTCAATGCCACACATACCACTCATTCGGGCGGTACGCACTCTCCCTCCAACGCCCTTTCCTGCGATCCTCAATTCGTCGACTTGCTCCAAAAAATCAAGCCGTACCTACTCCGAAATGGCGGCACCCTCGACGACGTGGCCGTTGGTATCATCATCACCTGCATCGTCGCCGAAATCATGAGAGCTGAGCTCAATGAACACTTCGGAAGACCCGCACGGCGTTTTGTCCAACGTAGGAGCCGAAACCAAGCCATGACGGACGACGACGAGAGCGACGAGAGCAACGACGACGAGAGCAACGACAATGGGAACGATCAATACAACGTGGGGGATCCGGACAACGACCTCCGAAGGAAAGAACCCCCTACCTGCGGAACCAGCTACATACAACAAATCGCCGTAAGTAACCGCAGTGTGCTACACCAATTAGGGGTTACACCAATTAGGGGTTACACCAATTAGGGGTTACACCAATTAGGGGTACGGTGTAACACGGATATGTTTAAATGTCTTCTTCACGTTTTAGAGATACGTCCAAGGCGTGTGCAATGAGCGTAAAGACATCATATTATGTCATCCCACAATTCCTGCCACGGCGAGTAGGGATGAATTATTGACCAAAGGGCAGAGTTCCCATTTGCCTGTGTGGGTTCAGGGTGCTATCAATTTGATAACTATTTTGGTAAATGTTAATCCTATTGAAATGAAGACATTCGATCAAGTTCCGTTAGCTACGTTGGAGATGAGATCATACTTAGCGTTGTTGTCTGCGAGTCGGCCATTACCGGAGTTGGAGAGCAAGGTAGATAAGATTGACAAGAATCAACAGAATAATATGCGCGTACAGATACCGGAGATTTATTCTGTTCTTGAGAAGACAAGAGATATGATAGTTAGATATGGTGATATCATAGATGATCTGGACACCATTCTGAAAAAGACAATACTTATATTAGAAGCATTTTGTGCTACACAAGATCTCAATGTCGAAAAAATTACTCTGGGTTCAAATGAGGGGGAGGAAGAAGAAGACAATGATGCCGTTACACATCTACCCTTTGCCTTGAAGACCTTCCGTAATGCCAATCTTCAGGATACTAGTGCTCACAATCGTGAAAGAGATTATACAGAAGAACAGGATGCTGGTAGTGTTGAAGGGGCGCAGAAAATATGGAGTTATGATCCATGGAAAAAAGTTGAGGAGGAAATGGCCACCCTTACAAAGCCGGAAATGACCTTGGAAGAATTGGTTGATGGACTTGCACTGCCCAATTTGAAAGATAAGCAACAGGCTAAAATAGATAGGACAAAGAATTATCCACTTGGTATCTTATCACATAGTTTACAATACCAGTGCTGGTTACATAGCCTTGGAGGAACGGCTGATAGAAAAACAAATCCCGGCAAATGGGAGTGGAATTCTGCTAGAATTAGCAAGCCAAAATTAGGAAAGATGCTCCTGTTGGCTCGCTACGTGCTGTCTACGTCTTATATAAAGGTTAATGACGTTGATGGGGGCACGTTTAATGTAGACCACATGGGCTACATACTAAGTCAGGTCCAGTCCTTGACAGAAGAGATTGAGGTCTGGAAATTGCTTTGTACCTTCAAGAAGGAATATCATGTCCCCGCAGATTTAGATGAGGATATTTTCGTGGATAAACCACAGTACAAATTCACTAAGAAGCCTCAGCGAAATGGTCCATTGGAGCACACAGCAGGCCGGCCTGCTGAGGGGAAGTCTACGACTGCCGATGTAGAACCCAAGGTTGTGGATCATACAGACCAGACTGCCGGGTCCCAGTCCAAACCGAAGCGTCGAATTAACATCAGACGTAAAGCAAAGCTGAATAATGAAAATAACCAGCAGTCGGAAGCTGCAAAGGAATCCCGTGAGGAAGTCGCTCCTGAAGAGGACCGTGTTGTGGACGACGGTGTTGTGGACGCCGGTGTTGTGGACGACGGTGTTGTGGACGACGGTGTTGTGACCGCGGGTCTGGTGGACGATGACCTCGATGCGAACGGAACGGATTTACTGGCTATAGAGGATGGTTATGACTCCAGTGCTGAATTGCAAAGAAATATTGCAGATGTAGGCCTCGGAAAGGAGAACGTGGAGTGGGAAGAATGGAGGAAGGTCTTAGATGAACCGACCGTGGAGCCGGAAGGTCGGGCGATTAGAAAGCCCGCAATGGATATCCAGGAAGTAGCTGGAAATGAGATCACCTCGTTGATCTGGAACGATCTGGATGGAGATGATCTCGATCTATTTGGTAGTATAGCTAGTATACTGGATTAACGTGGGTTAGTCCCTATCGTAGGACTCTACGTCCAACCGTCCAACTGATTTTCGTTCGCAGTCCCAAGACCGGAGTAGTGTTGAAACGAAGACGTAAGTCGAGAAAAGCGGAGTGCTATTCCTTTTAGACTTCCCTCCAGGACTGTCCGACCGATTATACCGGATTGAATGTTCCGAAAACAGATTGATTCATATTGCGATTGCCTGAAGAGAATCCAGGTGCATTTCGACAACGCTTTTAACGCTATATTGAAGAGACATAAAGTGCCTGAACCAAGTGCCATGGACAAGGCTTCGGAACCGATGGCTTCTATGGCTTCTGTGAATGTCGTGAATTGGCCGGAAGAAACAGGTCGACGTACCCACCCGAGAAACATATCTAATGCAGACCCCCCTCGTGGAGGGGCAGACCCCCCTCGGGGAGGGGCAGACCCCCCTCGTGGAGGGGCAGACCCCCCTCGTGCCGGCGTTTGGGGTTCCAGCAAAAATTGGAATTGGAGTGCTCGAATGCCTGATGACCGAAGCATGAGGATCGTGTCTGAAAATTGTTCTAATGTGCGCCAGAATAGATTGATCGAGTTGGAAAGATCAGTTCATGGTAGCCGTAACCGATTGATGAATCTGCGTAGCGAAAGCATCGGCTCTGAAGAACATATTGGAGGTCGTGGCAGTAGACACTCATTCGTGAAAACCCAGGTTGCTAAACTGGAAGCGAAATGTGCCTCCCAATCTCCAGAACTACAAAAGGTGCCATTCGTCATCAAACCCGAGCTACAACTAAAGATGACTCCCTTCCACGGTAACTACCTCCCAATCTTCAGCCACTTGTTTCTGCCACTTGTATCCTGTTTTTGCTTCATCCCGTTGTTTGATCTTCCACTCCTTGATCTTCGTACCGTGCTGGTGGTTATTCACATTCTTTTCCAGGTAGATCCTCAAAGGCGAAGTCAATCAGTTCCCATCCCTCGGCCGACCCGACCCAGGTACCTACCACTGGAACTAACGGTGTCCAGCGTCACGTATGTGGAGGCCCCGTGTCCGTGCCAATTCTCGCATCGTCCAAGAGTCCCGTCCCTTCTAGCCATGGTGCTGGAGATTCTCCTGTGTCTTCTTGTCTGCCCTCTAGTTATTGGCAGACGCGTTCGGAACGATCTTCTAGTGCCGCTGTGGTAGCAGCTCTACAGGGGGCGACGGTTGAAAGCGGCACTCTGGCGGCGGGCACCAATCGGGCGACGGGCACCAATCGGGCGACGGGCACCAATCGGGCGACGGGCACCAGTCGGGCGGCGGGTACCCAAAGTGGCACTCAGAATAATATTGGGTCCGGTACTCAAAGCACGAGTAACCGTCCCGTCGAGACCACCCTCGTGGCCGATATACTCCAACACTATTGCATCGGCAGTGACCTCATCTTCTACCAAGATCACCTACCAGAAAGTCCTGTACTCGGTCGCACACCTTCCAGTGACTCTCCAGCCTTCCGACTTCTCTCTGAAAGACATCCACTCTTCCAGACCAGCTCGGGACCCAGTGATGTAAACTCCCCCGCAGGGGACGGACCGACCAAGCACCACTTTGCCAAGCACAATCTGGCCAAGTACAACCTATCATCACTGTCCGTGAAGCCGTTACTGATCGGCCCACTAACACTCAACTCCCGATCTAGCCCCTTCGGTGAAAGCCCCTTGGGTGAAAGCCCCTTGGGAGAAAGTCGCGTGGGTGAAAGCCCCTTGGGAGAAAGTCGCGTGGGAGAAAGCCCCGTGGGTGAAAGCCCCTTGGGAGAAAGTCGCTTGGGAGAAAGTCGCGTGGCAGACAGCAGCCCCATAGGAGAAAGTCGCGTGGGAGAAAGTGCGTTGGGGGAAAGCCCATTGGGAGGAAGCTTCTCGGAAGGCACTCCCCCCTTGGGAGACACTCCCCCGTTCGGAGTCACTCCCCCGTTCGAAGGAAGTTGTTTGGGAGGGAGCCCGTTGCGCTCGTCTGAATCAAGTATGCGGTCCCATTCCGAGGGTCTGGCGGAGCACGAAGCGAGAGAGCACGAAGCGAGAGAGCACGAGCACGAAGCGAGGGAGCATGAAGCAAGGGAGCATGAAGCAAGGGAGCAGGATGTTTCGAGATTCAAGGCCCGGTCTACCTTGCCGGACCTTCGGCTTCACCTACCGAACTTAGGTGACATGAGGTCCTGGCACACACACGTGTCTAGAAACGGAGTCCGGCTGCCGCCGCTTTCACCATCGGCGAAGGCGCGACTCGACCGCGCTCGGTGTCAACCGGCGAAGCTGCGATCCTTAGCAGCTCGCAACTCGGACATGACGGCGTCTGCCGTGGGTCGCGGAGGGCTGCTCCGGTCGCGACGGTTCTTGTCGAGCGGCGACTCGCTGTTGCTTTCCTCTCTGCCAAGTGTGCTGACTTCGTCTTCCACCGAGGAAAGCCACCCGTCGGGGCGTCACCGACCGAGGCGGCGCGGTTTACCTGACCGAAGACTCGACCGCACTAGTCGACGTGGTACACGTCGCAAACTCGGCTGGGAACTCCAAAGGGAACAGTCTATCGAAATCCGAGGTGACCCACACACCAGTTCCCATAGCCGACCCGTCAGTCACACCAGTCACGGCGAGGGCGAACTTATGAGCCACGTCGTCAGCGCCATCGCCAAGAACCTGGCCGTCTGCGACTCCTCCTCTCCTTCCTCCTGGGACTTTGAGAACACCGACGGCGAACACCACGGCGACCCCGCCGTGATCGACGACCCCGAAGTTGAAGACCGGAGCGTCGAGCCTGGGGACCAGGACGACCTCGAAGTTCAGCTAAGAAGGGCCGACCGCGGGGGCCACGAAGATTTTCAAGTCGCGAGACACTTGGTGCAAGCGTCGGTCACGCCGCGTACAGGCTCCAGCCGCCCGTCGACGAGCAATCTGGAGGCACACAATTCCTGGACATTCACCCTCGAAGGTGCTAGCGGCGGTGTCCAAGATTCGAGCGGTGGGCTTCTGGAATCGAACAGCGACCTTCTAGAATCGAAGGTCGACTTGGCACTCAGTCACCCGGATGCGGTGGAGTCTGTTGTAGAAGGGAGTGCCCAAACGTCTTCGGAGGACCGAACGTCTTCGGAGGCTCGAACGCCTTCGGCGGGCCGAAAACGCTCGGGGGACCAGAGAGAAGCGCAAGTCCGGGAGGGAGTGGAAGAGGCGACGGATTCCGGCTCGAATCGATGGAGCGATGGCATTCCCTCTTCTAAACCACTTTCTTCTGCACTCCCTTCTCGCGTCTCTCCTTCGCCTTGTCCTGGTTCTCCTTGCCCTGTTTCTCCTTGCCCTGATTCTCCTTGCACGCCTTCTCTTTATCCTTCTCCGGCTGATAACTTAGATGGACAGCACATAGGAGAGCACCTGCTCAAGTCACTCGTGTCTGAGTACTACACACCAGCCGACTACACAGAAGGGCGGTCAGAGCTCGATGATGAAGATGATGCCACGCGTCGAAATCTGGCGGTTCACAAATCCGTAAAGCAAGTTGACGGTGGTGAGGAACAGGTAAAGAACGAAGTACCCGGGTGGGGGGCGGCGGGCGAGCCAGAGGAGCTAGGAACGGTAGCCACGGAGCCAGTTGGGGCCCAAGTTGGAATGGTGGTGGCGGTGGGCGCCCGTTGGCCGTCTCTGGGACCTTTGAGAGGCGTGGTCGAGGAAATGTGGAGTCGGAACGATTTTGTGGGAGTCTTGTGGCAGGACGCACCGCGGATGTTCAAGTCTGTTTCTGACAAGCTACAGGAGAAGACAGTTGCCGCTCAGATGCTTTTGAGCGAAACGTATGACGACGACCTCCAGCCATGCGGGAGGGAAGACGTTCTGAGGGAAGATGTTCTAAAGGAAGATGGTCTGAGGGAAGATGGTCTAAGGGAAGATGGTCTGAGGGAAGATGGCTTCCTTCAGACTAGATTTAGCGTTTCGGACTGTGAACGAGAGGTAACTATAGAGCATGCGGAACTCTCCAAACGGGCCCGGCCGCCGGGAGCACGGAAGCGACCCAGAGGTAACTCTTCATCGGCCGGTGCTCTGCAAGAGCGATCGCGTTTTGCAGTAGCGGGAGGTTGGAACACTATGACTGGTGAAGGAGCTGAACGAGACGCAGCTGCTGAACGGGGCGTATCTTCTTCCTCATTGGAGCGTGAAAAAGCTTCCCAAATCGCCGATGGAGCAAAGAATGGGCGAGCAGAAAAAACAAGAAAGGTATGGTGGTGGCTGGACATGCTTGATCGACTCATTCAACCTTTCAGAGAAAACTACGCCGTAACCGACGATGAGGAGGACAAGGACCGATATCACGAGCTGTATTATTGACATGGGAGTCCCAAACCCGTATTGGCTTCAAAGCGCGCGGGTTTATGAAGCCCAAAGATACAGCTTGGTGACAAAAACGGATCGGTAGAAACGGCAGCAAACACGCGTGTGTGTACGCGGTAAAATTCCGCGTTATGGCTGTTTTAGCCACTTTGGAGTGCTTGTCGCAGGCTACCTCGTGGTGGCTTGTATTTAATTCATTGTGCTGAGGAAAGCTCTCGCCGCTCGGAAATACTTCTTCTCCTTTTTTTTCTGCTGGGGAGAATGCTTGAAGTTATTTGTCTTCATATTACTCGAGTCAGCGAGCATATCACTGACGATGCCGCTGGGAGCCACTTTTTGACGTGATAACGCTTGACGACAACGTTTGGGGTTTTGATGGCGCCCAACTGCTAAATGGCATGACGGCCCTAACTGTCAAGTGAGAGCGACATAATGCTAATGAGGGGAGTAGTGTACTGAGGGAATCGCTGCCGCGGGGGCATACATTGGAAGAAGATGCCTCATTATGCCGTGATTTGCCTAAGTTGGTAGCAAACAGAATGTGGATAAAAATCTATATCATCAATGCCGTTCTTTTAATGAGCGAGGGTGGGGAAAGCTTGAGTGTCATCAAGCTTGATTTCGGAGTTGGATTTCTCCGGTCCAGCCTTCTTGGGGGTCTTTTCTTTCTGTTCGATTCGGTCATTTCTGCGGTTGTCTTGTTGCTGACGGGGGTAGCGGAAGTTAACGTTGACAACGGTTTTGGCTTCAGGGGTTTTGGTTTCAGCATTTTTCTTTGGTTCGACAACATCGGTGACCTTTTTGGTGTAGACCTTCATGCCGGCGGCAATTTCCTTCTCTTTCTTGGCGGGCTGTTTCTCCTCCAGAATCTCCTGGTTCTTGGATTGCTCTGCCACGAAGTCGGCATAGAGCAGTACCGAGGCTTTGTCTTCAGTGTTGGCAGGTGCTCCGCTGGGAGAGGCTCCTTCCCCGGCAGGGACTGTTGGCTCGTCACCCCACTTTTGAGCGACGGGACTGGCATCGGCCTCCGTGTTCACTTCGTCGCCAGCCTGGCCCCAATTGTGGGCACCCGCTCCGCCCTTCTTCACCTCCTTGCCGTGTCCAGTACCCGACTGTCTGTCCAAGCGACCCTCGGGACGAGGTTTGCGCTCCCGAATCGGTCTGCGCTCCCGACGACCGTCAGCTCCAGGCTCGTCACCAGATTCCTGACGCCGGGGGGGACGAGGCTCCTCACCCTCTCTTGGCACACGGCGGGGGGGGCGGTTGCCAAACTCATTGTTGCGCTCAGTGCGTCTGTTCGCCGGCTTCGGCTGCTCAGCCGCGGCTTCCTACAGAAATAAGTGTGTCCACGCACGGGAGGGGCCAACGCACGGTAGTGTGCGCACGCACGGGAGAAATACAGAAAGGGAATAAACGCAGAAAGGGAATAAACGCAGAAAGTCAATAAACACCCGCCCGTAGTGCGACGCCCAACCCAACCCAACCCAACCCAACTCGCGACAGTTAGTTATAAGACCTACCTCGTTCAGTTTGGTAAGTTGTTCGGCAGTTTGGTTGATAATGAGGTCATCAGCCTCCTCATGCTCGTCCAATGCCGCGAAGGCATTGTTGGTTGCAACGGTGTAGTACTTCGGCATGATAGTTTTGCGGCCGAAAAAAGTTTTGGGAGTCTTCGTTTTGCCTCCATGCTCTATCCCCGACGTTGTGTGAGCTCGGCTGCTGCAGTGACTACAACGGAGGCTGCGCAGCAAAGAATACTTGACATTCTGAAGCGCCGGAACCTCGAGGCCCCCCAGGCCACCATGAGTTTGGAAATGGTCCATTCGGGCTGTAAAGGCAATAGCTACAAATTCGAACCAAAGCAGGCACCACCTCCCCATTTCGTCAAAGTTGCACCCAGGGTATGTGTGCCACTACCCCAACTCACAGACCTTGTCGGACTCCATATCGACTGGGTCGACACTGACACCGAATCGAAATTTACCTTTACCAACCCACAAGCCAAGTCCACCTGCTCCTGTGGAAAGTCATTTGCTACATCCAAAAAAGCAGACCCCATGTCCTGCGCTACTGTCAACCCTTAGCCCGACCACCCTTACAGGACCCCCAACGGCTAGACCAGCCTTACAGGACCAGCCTTGCAGGACCCCCAACGGCTAGAAGAGTAAGACCTCTTTTTTTTGAGACAGTCGTTACAGACAAAAGTATATATTTCACACGCGCTAATGACTAACTATTTTTGCTGGCGATAGGAAGGGTTAATTTAACTTTGCTCGAGGGCTTCAGAGGGTTCAGTCGCACTGCAGCTGCCTTGGGACCTGTGGTGGCTAGCTGAGGAGTAACATAGAGGCCACCTGTTCTTGTGGGTCCGGCTTGGGCGCCTTCGGAACTGGCCCAAAGAGGGTTGGGTCGCAGCCTCCGTTTGTCCACATGCGAAGCCGGGTCAGTAGAGAACAAGGTCGGGGCCTGGGTTATGCTCCGCAGTTGTTGAATGCTCGGCCTGTATGTGGGGTAGTGCTGGAAGGGTCCAGCGCCGCCACTGTACTGTCGTGCCGGAACCACTCCTGAAGGGGCCGAGGTAGTCACAGGACATGAACCGGTACCAGACTTGGCAGGACCCAACAACGCAATAGGATGCATGGGGGGCAACGGGGTGTTCTTCAAACCCGCCGTCGTTTTCGCCCCCGGACCCGCCGCCAACTCGCCTGCTGCTAAACCGCCTGCCGCTAACACGCTCTTTACGAGGCTTGTTTGAGCCTGGACCATTGACGTAGTTGCACCCTGGGACACTCTCGCAGCAGCTCCTGCTACCGGCGGTTTACTCGCTACGGACGGTTTATTTATCGGGAGTCCAACTAGAGGAGGTGCAACCCCGGAAGGTTTAATCATTACGGGAGCTTTGGTCGCCGGAAGACGTCCTGGGACGAAGACACTCTGACCCTTCCCCGGGACCCTGTAGTGGGGCTGCTGTAGTTGGAACGGTGCACCGCCAGTGGGGTAGCACACGTTCTGGGGGTAAGAGTAGCCTTGCGGGAAAGGCTTACCTGGCGGGTAGGAATGCGAAAAAGGCTGGTAAACACTAGGCTTTTGAACAGCAGTTCGCTTGATGGGGATAGGAGTCGGACTGGCAGCAGACAACGACTCCAGATCATCTACCTTCATGCCCCCCTTCCTCATCTCCATCTCTATTTCCTTCTCGATCTCTTCGTAGATCTCCTGAGCCACAACCGGACTAACAAAATCCTCCAACACCAAGTCCTTAGCAGGGTTACCAAGAGATACCATCGTAGACGACTCATTCGTAGCCAAACGAACCGGCTCATCCTTAAGGGTTATACCCGGCACCGACTTCTTCCGGTAGAGAAACTCCGCGGGTCTTCCACCCTCCATTCCTCCACCCGCAATTCCGTTACCCCCAGGACCGTTCGAGAGACTGTTTGGAGCAACGTACGAATGAATGCCGGAGACGCTTTTCAGCCTCGGCGGCTCTGCCAACCGAGGGGCTTCCGCCTTACCACACGGCTCCGCCAGCCGGGGTGGCTCCGCCAACCGAGGTGGCTCCGGTTGCCGCGACTGGAGGGGCTTCAGAGCCCGTTCGTCCAGGCGAAGAGGCAACTGAGTGTGCGGTCGGGCGAAGTCGGGGAGAGGGGTGCCGCTACTCTTGGCAGCCGGCACAGGCACGGAGTCCCCCGTGGGCAATCCCTGCAACGATTTGGGGCTTGACGGGACTGGCTTCTTACTCGGTTGTGTGGTCGGCTTGTTGTACACGACTCGCGGGTCCGGCCCACGGCGCTCGGGTCTTCCGTTGAAGGCAGTTTTTTGCCAATACTGATCTTTCATCGGCGCTACTGCCCAGAGACCTACCGCCGAGGGGCCCAGCCCCAAAGGTGGGGCCGTCCCCGACGAGACCACCTCCGACGGGGCTAGCACTGGCGCTGTCCACGGTCCCGCATAGGAGTAGGCCACGTCCCGGGCCGGGTGCATCATCCGGAAGTCTGCCGTCCGGGAGTCTGCCATCCGGGGGTCTACCATCCGAGGTTCTACCACCCGGGGGTCCGCCATTCGGGGGTCTACCATCCGGGGGTCGGCCATTCGGGGGTCCACCGGCCGTGGGCCCACCGGCCTTGAGTCTACGGTCCCAGACGAGCCGGTACGTGCGTTAGGAGGGGCAGCCGCTCCAGCCAAGACGGCTGCCGAGACGAAGAGTAGTTTGGACAGATTGGGCGCAGGCCCCACGGCCGGGACCGGCTGGAGCGGCGCTACCCGCATCGCTGGACCCTGGCTCAGCGTCCACCGCGGACCGGCGGCCGGGACCAAGGCCGACGGTCGCAGTGAGGGTTGTGCGGATGCCACGGGATGCTCAACGGCCGTCTCGGCGGAATGCGCTACAATCGCCGACCGGAACGCCACCGGCGGCGGCTGCTTTTCTCCGCTCTCCGCAGGACCGAACGAATACCTTGTGCCCGGACCAAAGGCAGACCGGACGTGCGCCAAGGGAGCCGCCGGATGTCGGACCGGCGGAGGGGCTACGACCGGCGGGGGGCCCACGACCGGCAGGTAGGCTTTGGTGGGCGGCCTGGTCGCAGCGGGCTGGCGTAGTACCTCGTCTGGGTCTCCGAGCCTCTTGGTTCCGGGAGCCTTGGCGCCTGCTGCTTGGCGGCTGTCTGCCTCCGCGAGTTCGAGAAAATGTTGCGAGCCTGTCGGCGCTTCCTGGAAGTCTGTCGGCGCTTGCTGGGAGCCTATCGACGCCTGTCGGGGGCCTGCCGGCACCTGCTGGGTCTTTTGCTGGATGAGCCGCATGTAGTCCGAGCGCCCGATTGATGCGACGGCTTCCTCCGTTTGTGTGGCCACGCACTTCTGGCTGCCGTAACGCTTGAACAGCGGCTTCACTGCTAGCGGCTTGAGAGGTTTGCCCAGGACCGCCGAGCTGTATAGCGAACCCACTACCATCGCCAACGGGATCCCGGGAACGGGTTCCACGGCTTGCTCCTCGTCCGTTTCTTCGGGACCGCAACTCACGTCGGGAGTGTAGCTCAAATCCGGCGACGAAGAGCAAGGCGTCGCTTCACCGTACAGAGCGGCGTCGGGCAGACTTAGATTCGATACACCTACACTGGTAAGACCTACGTCGGGAAGCCCTGCGGCGGGCTTGGTAGCATTGGGCAGATTTTCGTGGCCGGGACTCGCATGTTCAAGTTGGCCGCGTCCCTGGTCTTCAGGCAGTTCCATGACTTGACCACTACGGCCAGGCTGAGCATTACGGCCAGCCTGAGCATTGCGGCCAGCCTGAGCATCACGTACCCTGGGTGAGCTAATGGGGGACTGCCTCCTCAAGTCAGCAGAAGATAGTGGTGCTTTTTGTGGGAGCTGACTTGGTAGAAAGCTGACCTGCAGCGGACCAGTCCCAAGAACCGGCTCCAATTGTGCCTCATCGGTCTCAGCACCTTGCTGCAAGCTGTTAACAGCAGTGGAAAGGTCGGTACAGGTCTGATCGTTCGGTACAGCTTGTTCACAGTCTAGAGTAATACAGTCCTGTTGAATACAGTTTTGTTGAATACCGTCATCCTGAATATAGCCATGCCGAATATAGTCATCCTGAATACAAGCATCCTGAGCGAGTTCCTGGTGGGCGAACTCCTCCCGATCATGGCTTTTAGGGAGAAGCTCGTGCGCGGTAATTACGTGCGCGGTAATTACGTGTCCAAAAGGTTGAACCTGGGATTGAATCACGGGTTGAACCACGGGTTGAACCACGATAAGTCCAGATTGCTCTGGCGACATTTCAGAGGCAAGCGGTAGTAGATCGGGTGAGTAAACCGGTGTATAAACCCCGGAATAATGTTCCTCTCTTAGTTTACGTGAAGTATGAGGCGTTTCCTCAGCTTCCGTTTCCCCTACCCTGTCTTCTTCCACCTGCACTGCTTCGGAGGGAGGAAGCGAGTAGCGTTCAGCGAACGGGGAAGACTGACCAGATGTTTCCGGGGTGGATATCTCAGTATCGTTTAAAGGAGTATATTCGTCCTGATAATAGCAGTCCGATATATTCTGTAACAGCAACTGACCACTGATTTGCGGCTGTCCTTGGGTCGCTGGAGGATCATCATTAATGGTCACCTCAGTAGGCAACTCTCCATTCACTCCAGTAGTACGGAACATCTCAGTAAGACTCCGGCCAAGCTCCAGGGGGGCCGAGCTGCAACAACCCAAGTCGGATGGACCAAAGCTAGGTTGGTCGTGAAGCTCTGAAGGAATCATCTCCAGGAACGCACACTTCATTTCCTGCCTGTTGTACCCAGAAATTGGTCCGGTAGTATCCGAGCCCACAAGACCTGAATCTACTCGAGTCGGCAACTCCAGACCTTCCCCATCTGCCTCAGTCTTTTGCGCCTCAGTCTTTTGCGCCTCAGTCTCTTGCGCCTCGGCCTTTTGCGTCTCGGCCTTTTGCGCTTGGAAGCCCGTCTGCGCTTCCACGGTAGCCTGCGCTTTCAAGCCAGTTCCTAAGCCGGCTGACGGTCTGAAATCGTGGTAAGCCAAGCGGTAAACGTCTCGTGACACCTCAGGAGTTCTAACGTACTGAGGAGTTCGCACGGAATCCGCGGATGTCACTCGGTCATGAGAGGTGACTCGGTCATGAGAGGTGACTCGGTCAACTGAGGTAACTCGTTCAATTGAAGTGACTCGTTCAATTGAAGTGACTCGCTCAATTGAAGTGTCCTGGTCCCTCGACCGATTCCGTACGTGGGCAAGACTTGCTCCTTGAAGATCAACGGACTGAAGATTGGGCCGAAGGTGCGGTACCTCTTCCTTGCGCGCCTGATCCGGTCTACGCTGGTTATCGGACCGCGAGTGTGACTCTAATTCCTGAGGCTGGCCGTTGTTAGACAGACCGCTGTTCGACAGGCCGTTGTTCGACAGGCCGTTGTTCGACAGACCGTTGTTCGACAGACCGTTGTTCGACAGACCGTTGTTCGACAGACCGTTGTTCGACAGACCATGGCTAGGTGGACAATTACTGGTTTGGGAGTTGTAAGACTTGGGGTTATGAGACTCAGAGTTATTGGTTTTGCCTGTGTCGGGAGCGTCAGGCCGTGGTGGCAGATCGGGTGTTGTAGCCGTGACTTGTGTGGCGGCTGATTGTGGGTAGATGAGTCTAGAGGGAACGGTTGCGTAGGGGGATACGGCTTGACCGGACAGCGGTTTAGTGGGTAGTGGGGTTCCCTGGTATAAAGTACAGATATCCGATTCGGCACCGGTAGCCGATTGCCCTACTTTGCCTTTGTTTTTGTTGCATCGCGTCGTATCTTTCATCGGGGTGTCTTTAGTTGTGTTTTTCCAGCGGAACATTCGTGATTGTTTATCTTTGCGGGACTGTTGTCTGTGCTGGAAATGGATGGGGAGCCCCACGGGGTAGAGCGTGTCATAGGAAGCTTCATTGGACGCGTCCACTGAGCTAATAGCCATCGTGTCACCTGAGTCCCCCACGACTCCCTCTGAATATCCGAGAGAAGAGTACCCAGCCGACAAAACCTGGTCGCGCGTCGCCAGGTTGTCTTGGCGTCTGCACATCACCTGGGGCCCGTCCTGGGAGGAGGTGGATGAGCCGGAGAGCCGCCGGCGACGCGGCTGTCGGCGCCTCGACCGGTAATCTTCGCAGAACAGTGCAGAGCTCCTGCCGGAGGTCCTGTGGTCGACACAGGTCGTGTGGACGACACAAGTCCTGTCGTTGGCAAAGGTCCTGTCGTTGGCAAAGGTCCTGTCGTTGGCAAAGGTCCTGTCGTTGGCAGAGGTCCTGTCGTTGGCAGAGTTCCTGCTGTTGGCCGAGTGGTGGGCCCTTTCGGGAACGGACAGTTTGCGGCTGTGGTAGCACTTCGCGGATTTGGACTGGCGCAGACAGGAGGGGTGTAGACAGGAGGGGTCCGGACAGGAGGGGTCTAGACAGGAGGGATCTAGACAAGAGGAGTCTAGACAGGGAGACAGTTCTCGCTCCAAGTCGGACAGCTCTCTGCGGAGATCGTAGAGTTGTTGCCGGCCTACAGGCTTGGCGTTCCTTTTGGGTTGTGGGAGTACGGGCTTGGTGGCGGTTTGGATGATGTCATCGGTAAGCGCAGTCGTCTGGACGGGGCCACGGGGGGGTCGCAGGCGCAGGTCCTGCTCATCGGAGGTGTAAAGAGTTCGTTTTTTTTGTCGCCGTCGCAGGGCCTCATTTTGCAAACGGACTAATAACTCTTCAATATCGTCTGCCAGAGCTTGTTGTCCTTGCGATGACTGCCGGTTCCGAGACTCATGACGAATCTCATGTCGCGACTCGCGCTGACACTTCGACAAAGACCGCACCCGTCGCCGGTGGTCGGCTTCGACTCGATCCCGGGTCTGCTGGTTGCTGCCACTCACCTGGTTGCTGCTATCCAGCTGATTACTGCAACGCACATGGTGGTTACAGTTTTTTGCAGGGTTGCAGTCGACGTGGCTGCTGCCACCTTCATATGTGTCTCCGAGGGTTTCAGAGTCGAGCTTCAGGTCTGCTTCTTTGAGCAGGTCGCGGAGTTCCTCCTGCAGACGAGCGCGTAAATTCCTCAGTGCAGCTTTCTCCAGCATTATTTATTAATGGCAGAAACTACTCTCAGAGAGACTCTGGGGTTAATAGCGCGAGTGATCTGGGAGTCAGGACTCAGTGACAGAGCCTCCATCTGGGAACTGGTAGTGCTCACTGCACAAGACCAACTCGTAGCCATTAAAGAAGCGCCCCAACTGGAAGTTGCGACGTCAGGCAAAACTGATCACCCGCTCACGGAGCATCCGTTGGCGGATCACACCGCAGACCACACGGTCCCCGAATACGCGGTTGCGGATCCCGCGGTTGCGGGCCACGCGGTTGCGGATGAAGACAGGAAGGAACAGCCCGCGGTCCCCCTCCAAGACGGGGACCACTCGGTGGCAGACGACACGGGAACTAACCAAGGGTTGGAGGGAGTAACCGATGGCCGAACACGGGAGGCCCAGGAGGACCCGGTCCCCCACAACCGTACAAGGGAACCCACGGGAATGAACTTAGTAGAAAGAGCTCCCGACCTAGAGAGAGGTCCGAACGGTTTGGAGTCCGCACCAGATGACTTGAAGCGTGCTTCGGGTATTGTTTTCAGTGGAGTGGACAGCCAACTGAAGTCAGGCGTGACGGAGGGTGGTGTGTGTGAGACAGGTGTTTGCTCGACTGCCAATCATACAGTAAGAGTTGGAAGCCATCAATCGGGTCCCAATAAGGGGGCAGTAATTCAGTTTGCTGCAATGGGCAGTAACGAAAGTTTTGTTCTATACTCGTTGATGAAGAGGTACTTTTTGATGACGTGCAATGACTTGTTCAACGCAGCGGAATGCCACAAACGAGCTCCCTGGTCCATGGGACCCTACATCAATGAATGCCGGGATAAGGCACTAAGGCGCTGTTATAATATTCGGAAGATGGTTGATGATTTAAGTTGTCCAATCACAGCGAAAGCTCGTTGTGATGACTCTAGCTCTACGGCAGCTGAAGAGAGCGACTACAGTGATAGCGGCTTGATTCTACCCGATCGGACGCGTATGAGAATGGGTCCGAGAACTCCTGTCCGAGCGGAAGACGTGGACTTTGCGCCACTGCCGTCATACTCTAAGACACCCGAAGAGATAGCTGTTATTTCGGCTACTTTAGACGCTGGTACCAGCTTCGTCTTCGAGGCTATTCGGGATCAGGAAGACCGGAAAAAGAAGTTGGTGGATGCACTGAAACCCGTTACAATTCCAGCCGGAAGCTTCGCCATTCGGAATGGGGATACTGGTGATGGTATGTACTTCATTGGGGTCGGAAAATTCAGCGTGCTAAGGGGGGACCAGGAAATCAAGCAGTTGGGACCTGGAGACATCTTCGGCGAACTCGCTGTCCTGCATCAGTCCACAAGAACTTATTCATGCAAGGCCCTAGAAGACTCCACCGTTTACTTCTTACATCGTTCCAGCTATATCGCATTGATCAGAAGTAACCAGTGATTTTGATAACGTTGCGCAATAGCTTGCGCGGCTATTTAGTTTCCGCATTTAATTACAGAGATTTAATTCACGCACGCGCGTGTGCGCGCGCATCATGATGGAAATCGGCAGAAATGATTTTGGCATTGCTTTGGGGCGAGCTACTCGTCACTAGCGACACCTAGCTGTTTTTGCCTATTTTTCATTATGCCCATAGAGTATATATTCATATTCAGTACGCAGACTCCGGATCTCGTACAGAGATATGGCCGTTGGTGGATTCCTGAAACAGAGCGGGACAGAAAGCGAGTACTGGACGCTCTCATGAAGCGGCCGAAGAAAACTCCAATCCTTACGCTTTACCGCCAGCGCAAGATAGCCGTTCGCTGCTACGGAGATCTGTTGTTCGCGGTCGGAATTGATTCTCCAGAGTACGAGTCTATGGCGTTCGAGCTCATTCACCTCATCATATCAGTGCTAAACGACTACTATGGCAATGTTACGGAATCCGACATAATTCACAGGCCAGACATCATAGTTCACTTGATGGAATACATGATATGCTCCGGGATCTTGGTGCAGCCAGGCAAAGCATCTTTGGTTAAGCTGCTAAAAGAGATCTGACCCGAGTGCTCCCCCAATTTTGCGGTAACGTCGATTTCACGGATAAAGTCCGTGCTCTGGTTGATCTTTGCCCTCCGGCTAGCTAGTCACATTGTTTTTATGGGAGCCCTCAAGTTCATTGGCCTCGGTCGGCACGGGAATACTCAAAGGAGCGTCAAAGTGGGCAGTTCCAGGAGCAGACCGTTTGACACAAAGGCGGAAAACGGACGGTGCGACGGGACGGATTGAAGGTGGTGGGTTGGGTTTGGTTTAGCCATGGGTATCGGTGGGGTCATGAGCATCGGTGAGCTTCACATCAGCCAGCAGACATTAGGCAGCTTTTGTGAAGGGGTGGGGGAGGCGTCAAGTAGATGGCGAGTGCGTGGGACTTGTGTGAGTAACCGGGCTGTGTTACTCGATGAGTGCCGTGTCGTGGAGAAATACGTCGTTGGGAGGCAGGTATTTGGGGGTATTTTCTGACGTGTAAAATTTTGTTGAGAAATGTCGTCGGATATTCCCGAGTTCAAGATTGTGCTCATAGGTGATGGCGCAGTGGGCAAGACGACGTTGGTTAAGCGTCACCTGACTGGTGAGTTTGAGAAGAAGTACGTACCCACGTTGGGGGCTGAAGTGTACCCCCTGAAGTTTGACACGAATTTCGGTCCGATAATCTTTAACGTCTGGGATACTGCCGGTCAGGAGAAGTTATCTGGACTACGGGATGGTTATTACGTGCATGCGAATGGTGCAATTATTATGTTTGATGTTGCTGCACGAATAACATACAAGAATGTGACTTCATGGCATAGGGACCTCGAACGTGTGTGCCCGAATATCCCTGTCGTTCTAGTCGGCAATAAGGTCGATGTCCAAGAACGTATCGTAAAGGCCAAGCACATTAATTTCCACAGAAGAAAAAACATTCAGTACTACGATCTTTCCGCTAAGAGTAATTACAACTTCGAGAAACCATTCCTCTGGCTCGCCCGACGTCTTACGCAGAACAATGATATTCAGTTCCTTGGCGAGGTCGCACGTAAACCAGAAATCGTTATGACCGAGGAACAGAAGAACCAGTCCGAAAGAGAACTCCAAGAAGCTGCTAACACAGCTATAGATGACGAAGAGGGTAACCTTTGAAAAATAAAACCTTTTTACTAAATGAGCCACCCTCTAAAAACGAAAAACGAAACCATAAACCGCCCTACCAACGACGATAGCAAGACTTATAACAAGAGCCCTGAAGGCACGACCTCTACACACGCTGCCTTCAAACAAGTCATCCTGAGCGGCAAGGGAAATGTTATCCTTCACACCACTGTTGGAGATATAGAACTTGAACTCTACTGGCATCATGCCCCCAAGGTAACATTCCTCCAAACAATCCGCGCCCCCCTCCCCTGGACACGTCCCCATTGCTGTCCCATTGCTGGGTCCACTTGTCCCATTGCTGGGTCCACTTGTCCCATTGATGGGTCCACTTGTCCCATCGCTGGGTCCACTTGTCCCAGTAGCCTTCCAGCGCAGTCTCCTCCACCGCACCGTCTTCGGTTCATACCGTCTTCGGTTTCAAATATGTGTTTCGAATACATCCAATGGCAGACCTGTGAGAACTTTTACCAGCTCGCGCGAAGGGGTTATTACAATAATACTTTAGTGCATCGAGTCTCTCCCAACTTCATCATTCAAATGGGGGATCCAACTGGCACCGGGACTGGCGGTGAGTCGATATATGGCAAGTACATGGACGACGAGATCTGCCCCGAATTGCGGCATACTGGGGCGGGCACGCTATCCATGGCGAATACCGGTCAGCCGAACACCAATGGTAGTCAGTTCTTCATCGCCATGTGTCCGTGTCCGCACCTAGATGGAAAGAACACCATATTCGGTCGAGTAGCCAAGGGATTCGACAAATGCATCTTAATCAACAAACTGCATGTCAACAAACAGGAAAGACCTCTCACCGATGTTAAGATTCTAAAAACATTCGTCACCCTGCAGGGCCTCACCCCCATCGATTAACTCCTCGTCATGCACGACCAATCGAGATGATCAACCAAGATGACGACCAACGAGGCCGACAGATTCAGACCTAGCGATCTACGAACGGGCATGAAGGACAAAGAGGCACTAAGGAAAGGAAGCCGGGGAGGCAGACCGGAAAATGGAGCCAGTAGCTAGATGTACAGTTGTGGTTGGGAAGGTCGTCATCTGGGGAACACACATGACAGCCTCTCAATCGTCATGTGTGATCCCCAGATCGCGTCCTCCCAATCGCCGCAACGGATAGGGACGAATTTCAAGATGCCAACAGAGACCAGTGGTAACATCCCGGAGGCGGTATCACCCCTCCCTCCGGTAACCTGGGTCTGGCGGATCTCCGTCCATAGACCCGACTTGAACAACAGCCCTCCTGGTCACAGGAGCCCCGCGGCCGTAGGAGCCCCGCGGCTGTAAGAGCCCCGCGGCCGTAGGAGCCCCGCGGCCGTAGGATGAGGGTGGCTGTAGGAAGACAGTAGTCCTCGGTCCCAGAGCCGAGTAGTTGTCGGGTACGCACCGCAGAAAACTCACCTTTGAGTGAAGCCGTACTTCTTTCGTTCATAGAACAGGTCGGTTTTCGCTGAACCAAGGTTGACGATTTTTGGGCAGCCATCCCTCTGCAAAGAAGAGAAGGTCGTGCAAGTATTTCGGGAGGGTGACCGTGGTGTAAGTGAGGGTTACATCTTTTTCTTGCTGAACGCATTCCTTGCAATAATAGGCGTCACTGATGCCCATGCCACCGCAGATAATGCATCGTCCCTGGTAGCTTCCGTAGTTGCATTCGTCACAAATCCTAACCAGAGTATGGGGACGTACGTAGGAGTCGCATATAGGACATTTATCTTCGCATTTTTCACAGAGTCGACCGACGGTAATTCCCGGTTGCTTTCGACACATAATCAAATCAGGGTCTGAGAAATGGTTCAATAAAGGGAGGGGGTAGAGGGGGTAGGGGTTAGATGGGGTATGGTTGGTTACGGTGTTTGGCCATTAAGTTTGGTTAAATAAATGTCAGTGGGCCTGACGTGTCCACAGTGTGGAAGTGATTGTAGTGGATACGACAATATTTTAATACGTTCTTTGGGATGTGGTCATGGAGTATGTGACAAGTGTTTGGGGCAGCGTTATCCTGTGCGATTGACTGCTTCTGCGGATGTTGTGTGGAATTTATCACCAGGTCATTTGGTGGTATGTCCGATATGTGAACGGCCGACGCCACAGAAGGATTGGGGTGACTGGATATCTGACCGTAATTTATTGGAGAAGGCGGAGAGTATTCGGAAACGTGTTACGCTGGTCTTAAATGGAGATCGACAGACGTTTAAGTCGACGCCTTTATTTTACGAATTTCTGGAGAATCGAGAAGAGGTGATTTACGACCTGGTGTACTCCCAAGATGTGACAGTAAAGCGCCAGCGGGAGGAGTTTCTGAAGCAGTGCGAGATCTCGAAGCAGAAGGAAACTTTGGAAGCGAACGAGCGGTACAGGAAAAGGACAGAGGAAAGGATTAAGGAGATTGTTGAAAAGGAAGGAACCTTTTATGAACAACTTAAGGTCGATTACTCTAAAGGCTTTAGAAAAGAACTTCCGTCCCTTTCTCACCCACTCACTCGTGAGCACGCCGAACTCTTCCCTCAACACGCTGAAGCCTCTGCCAAGGAAGCACTCCTCCAAGAAAACCAAAGTGACGTAGATCTCCTCAACTACCTTAGACAACACATGCCCACCGTCATGACAGAGTACACCAAAAAACCTGGCGACTCCCGAGCAAGAGCCGTCGCTGGCGGACACAGCAAGGAAGTCGTTTTATATAGAACTCAACTAGAGACCTTTGCCTTCCGTCTGGATTGGGACCCAGACCAACATCTATAACCACTCGCAGTATCCACAAGATCTCCCATGCCACGGGGCCAGGCCAGGCAGGCCCCGTCCATACTCACGCGCCGTACTGTGTCTGCCAGGCCAGGCCCCGTACTATGTGTGCCAGGCCACGCCCCGTACTGTGACAAGCCACGCCATGCCCCGGACTGTGACAAGCCAGACCAGGCCCTGTACTGGCACAAGCCAGACCAGGCCCTGTACTGGCACAAGCCAGACCAGGACCGTGCCGTGCCACAGCCCCCTTGTTTGTTGCTATGCCAAGCGACTGGACTGCCGCCGAGAAAAGGTCTCGCCATTTTGTTCTGAAAATTTTTGTGCATCCAGATGGAAGTGAAACACGTAATCAAGAATGCGGATATGCCGGATAACATGGTGACTGAGGCCGTGCAACTTGCACAAGAAGCGCTGGAGATGCATGGAATCGAGCGTGACGTTGCCGCACATATCAAAAAGGAGTTTGACAAACGTCATGAGCCGACGTGGCATTGTATTGTCGGTCGGAATTTCGGCTCTTACGTCAGCCACGAGACCCGGAGATTTATCTACTTCTATTGCGGACATGTAGCCATACTTCTTTTCAAGTCGTAACCCTCCATATGTATTTAGTCCCAAGTCCTGCTCTTGAACGCATTCTGCCTTGGTGTTGAACCCATTCTGCCTGGTGTTGAACCCATTATGGGTGTGTTGAACCCTGGTTTTGACTGATGGTATTATATAGCCGTCTAAGACGCTCATGGCGGCCACATGTGGAAGATGACGATGATAAGCCTAGACCCCGTGTCTGGGACCGCAGAACATGCGGTCGTATATTTGTCATTGTAAACTGATTGAAAGGTCACTTGCCGATGGCGGAAACAGGTTTTGAATTCGCTGCCTCACAGCGGTATCCATCCAAGGACCGATTGGGTTTAGACACCATGAAGCGTCGTCGTTGTTACGGTGGCTGGCAGTTGTAAAGGGAGGAAGGTTCGTTGGGTCAATCACGACTGACAAAGTGTCTAACTCCTTACCATTGTCAACGATTGTCACTTTTTTCACCGTGTCTTCTGCCAGCAACGGCTTGACCAACTTCCAAATAGCACGGAACGTCCACGTGCTACGTATTATGTACGTCCTTGCCATGCACTCTGGGTAATGGTATTGACCGACGGACAACAACATGTTTAACAACTCACGACTGCGTGTAAACTCGCCCATGGATGTGCCTTCCATGTCCAGCACAGTGACGCCCTGGTATATACGACGACCCTGTTGCAATGAGCATGCCGGCAACACGACCCGCATTACTACAAACAGAACACGTGTGTGGACATGATGCAGAAAACGTGTGTGTGATGCAGAAAACGTGTGTGGTGGTAGAAAACGTGGGTGGTGGTTACGATTTTCATAGCCATTGATCCAGTATTTGACCATGTCTTCTTTATTGAATTGTTGGAGTATTTCTTTAGACTTCATTTTCCCTATACGATCATAGTAGACCGGTCGCCCCTCCCGGTCACAGCCATAATAGCCGTGGGGATAGAGGGCGTGTAGGCTGGTTTTAAATTCATTACTCATTGTTTCTTGTGCTGTACCTTCAACATTTTCGACTTCTCTCCATTCCAGGTCATTTTTGAGCATTTTCAGAACTTCGGGTGTCTTCTGCTGTCTAGCAACACAAAAGCGGTGTATATACAGCGTTTCCTCCATGGTGGGACAGTTCTCATACTCCGGGGCCTGCTTCATCTCCGATCCCAGCCACCAGGGACCCGGGCATCTTAGACGCAGCAACGACAATGTCAAAGGATAGAACCGCCGCGCCTGTTCATAGAACCACTGAGTCCACACCTCCATAATACTCGAAGCAAACCCCTCCGGAATCCCCAACTGCGCTAACTGCTTCCCGATCTCAACCAGCACCATATTCTCAGCACACCGCGGCTTCGTACCTTGGCCCGTCCCCGGCCGGGTCTGCTCAACCGCCGTCGAAGCCCCAGTCCCCGTTCGACCAACGTTCTCGGTCTGAGCCTTATCCATCTGACCCTTATCCGTCTGAGCCTTCTCAGTGCGCTTTTGAGTCTGGTCCTCTCGAACGCTCATCAGTCCCGGGGGGACGGCCGCCACGTGCCTCCCATAACCCTCTCGTTCCCGAGCTTGCTCCCGAGCCTGCTCCTCGTGTCTGGTCGCCATTTGGTTCGAGGCTGCAGTTCCCTGCCGAGCCTCCCCCGGCCCTTTAGGGCCTCCCGCCTCCCCAACGGGTCCCTCCTTTCTTTCCAGTGGCGGTTGTGAGTCGCTAACAGTTTCTGGAAACGACTCGTGAGCGGAGCGGAACGACTCATTGCTTCCACGCCGTCCCAGGTCGGTCACGGGCCTCGAGGTCTCGCGCCACGTCTCTGGACCACTCGTCTGCCCGGTGGCACACTGCCCGGTGTCCCTCTGACCCGGGTCCCTCTGACCAGGGTCCCTCTGACCAGCGTCCCTCTGATCCTGGGGACCGCCCGGGGTCCTTGGCCTTGCCCCACCCCGTTGCCAGCGCGAGTCTACGGTTTCGTAACCACCACTATCGCCTGAAACGAAGTTGGTGGAGGCGATGTCAGCGTGGGGCGAGATGGAGTGGACCTCGACCTTGAGTACTCGCGGGTTTTGTTCCAGACTGCTGCTGCGGCTGACATCGCCCCCGGACCGGACACTTAGACTCTTCAAGAGTTCCAGCCGGCTCCCCAACGGCGGCCTGCTACCGCCCGATCGCGGGTTCGAAGACACCCCCGTCCCACTGGATTCCAGAGCCACCTCAGAACCGGCGACCACGCCCACAGCGCCAGTGTTAAAATCCTGGCTGATGCCCGGCTGGAGTCCAGCGCGGGGCTCTATTGCTGGGTTCCCCACTTCGCCACCTTCCACGGCCTGACTCGGATCGGGAGCCTCACTCCGAACGGGCATCTTGAGACTTGCCGCACTTTGTGGACCTGTTTCCTGTAAGGCTGCCTCCTGCAGCCTCGGGCCCAGACTAACCTTGAAGCTCTCTCCCGATGCTGCACTGTACCTTCTGCAGCAACAGGATAGTGGACGTCCCATACCGTGTAAAAAAGAAAGCGACGATCTTCACCTGGAAGGTCACCACCTCGAAATGTAGCCTACGGCCAGGGCCACGACCTCGAGGAAGTCATGGCTGGGGGAGGTACGACCTCGAAAGGTCACCGCTTCGTCCCAAGGGGGGTTTTGCTTAATGGTTATTGGATGTTGAGCTACCGGCTGTTGAGCCACCGGTTGTTGAGCTACCGGCTATTGAGCAAATCAGATGGCCTGATATTTAAGTGCGCGAGCGTAATCGAATCGACCGCAGTCCACAAAAGGCGACACAATCCCCTTATGTGGTCAACAGACTCTGAGCTCCTGTCCACACACGCAGAAGTCGGGGCGTCTGACTCTCCAGGCCGGTCGGTGGCGACGGGCCAGAAGGACGGGAGTGTGTTGGTGGTGATAAGTCTATGCGCTTCTGTCATATATGCAAATGAGTGTAGTGGTATATAATACGGGTCAATGAAGGGATGGAAGGAAACTAGATGGCCGTCCATCAAGCACAGGTCTGGATACGCTGATAACTCTCGTCGTAAAGCTGACCGCGGGACCACCCACACGGAATGCACCTCGGCAGGCTTTTCCAGGTCTTTCTTCAGTTCTCTCCAGTCATTGACTGGGAACGGGTCCGGCGGCTGACTACCCGACGGCTGGGTTGCTGAAGCTGAGGACTGGGTTGCTGATGCTGTCGACTGGGTAGCTGACGACCCGGGAGTGAGGGTGAAGTGATGAACGTCCTCACGCACGTTAACTAGAGACAAGTACCGTAAAGTCTCTGCGTGGTCGTATTGCACGGCTACGTACCAATCGTGGTCGCGCGTGTCCTTGGCTGCCGAGGCATTGTACAAGGCGTCCCCGGCGATGGGTGTGTCAGCATAGCTGGAGTGCAGCCGCAGTTGATGCGTGCGACCTGTGACGGGTATGCCTAACACCATACAGCCCGCGGTTCCCAGGTCCCGAATTAGATAGAAGATGCTCAGGCTCGGCTTGCCGTTTTCCCAGTCGATCCGCGTCTTTAATGCGCTCCCAGGAGTATGCTGGTCGAGAGCAATCGGAGCACACACTACCATACCCAAAGTGGGGTCGATACTAGTCGGGATATGGTCTCCAGTACTACTGGAAGGGGCTGAGAGGGGGCCTGACGGGGGGCCGAAGGGGTCCGGGCCGGAGGGGCCCGGAGAAAAGGGAAAGACTCCCCGGAGTGGGAGTGCATCTTGAAGGGCTCGATCCCAGGTCTTACTCCATTGCATGACGTAGAACTTCTGCCAGTTCCTGACGACGGGAGTCAGCCTTTGGCAACCCTTGCCGTCCTTGGCAACGATCATGAGTCCAGATGTGACTCTATCCAAACGCGACAGCGGATAAAAAGACTTCCTGCCCAGCTTTTGCTTAAGCATTTCAGTAAGCGAATTAGTCTCAAACTGGCCTTGCGGGTAAACTGGGATCCCCGGCGGCTTGGTCACCGCCAAATACTCCTCAGTCTCATCAACCACCTCGATCGGCATGACATATGGTACCACCGCTTCCGTTAAAATGCACTCGTGCTCCACATTCTCGTTCCCCTTTAGTGTATGCTCAGCAGGCAGGGAGGTATGCTCTGCAGGCAGGGAGGTATGCTCAGCAGGCAGGGAGGTTTGCTCTGCAGGCAGGGAGGTATTCATCGCCTCTTTTTTCGTGTCTAAGCGACGCAGTTTGCCTGGACGGACATCCCCTCCCTGTCTATAGCATCGGAGTCTTCCCTTCTCGTAGGCTCGCTCGTAATACAATCTGGGCCGGCTCGAGAACTCGGAAGCAAACACGTCCAGAAAACTACGTCCAAATAGGGTCAATATTGCAGTCACTTACCGCTTGCCTATCCATCGCTGCTTTACACTCTGAACCAATATTTTGTGCCGTGGTTTGCCTACACTAACGGTGACATTACATAATGATGGCAAAATCGCGTCCGGCCCGACGGCAATTAACATGTTTGAAATTAGGCCCCCGTCATTTCTAGTGATCTAGAAAAATTTGAGAATGAGCTTTGCTGACAGCCAACGAGTAACCGGGACCTCTGCCGTAGATGATGTCCCTCAATGGCACGCTCAGTTAGTGAACCGTTACTCGTCCGCTAGAACTGAACAGGCCTTCTACGTGCTTTCAGTAAGTTGATCACTCACAGCTGCTCACTCACCAGCAATTAATGTACCGGCTGGCGCTACGCCAGCGATTGGTGCTACTGTCACTGGCTACTTGGGGGCTTATCTGGCAGTACCCACGGCTTCCAAGCAGCCGCTGAACCTGGCATTGCACTCCGAAAGGTCTCGGTATCACGCTCCTCTTCGATCAGGGAACCACACAAATGCCATCTCCAAGCTTCCAATTTGTACCGATGTATCCCATCGACCAAGTGGTCTATTCCGAAGCACCCGTGTGTGTTCATGTCAATGGCAGCCGCCGGGCATGGCAGTCGGCTGTTGAGCATGCCCAGAAGTTTATTCCAATGAACTAACCCGCTGATAAAACAGTGGACCTGACGGGGTCGGGAATTGAAATTATAGGCAGCAACGAGCTCTGAATCACCAGTCGCATTGCGTTTTTATAATTCTGCAACAACCTTTTATAAATTGCCTCCATTTCTAGCTGATCCGACTTTTGAGCAGACGTCCCCAACGCCTCCACGGCATCGAGAGCAAACTTTGCCTCATCGGTATCTTCCTGAGGTGTATGCAATCGCAATTTAAAGTTTGACATGGCTAAAAGACCCGGGTATTGCATTGAGCGAGATTACGCGTTGCACTTGCTTCTAGTTGACCGACGGTATCAGGAGACACCTGCTGAACGGCTGCAGCCAGCGTCAGCGCAACAAACGTCAACTTCATCGAAAGCACACACGTGTGTGCTGCGCTCTACTCGGCCCATATGTAAGCGACAGTCAGCGCCACTGCGATTAAGCCTAATAAATACTGTCGTAGTTCGGAGCAGATCACCTTACCGACAATATTACAGGCAATATATAATTCGTAATCCATTTGGACCAATTTTTAATCGCTCATCCGGGTCCCACTTTGGGGATGTCGAAATCTGAAGAAAACGTGCCTGAACACTGTAGTGAATGACCTTACGTTCTCCTAGAGAGTTCAGCTTTTGGTTGAATTCTGCCACTCGCTGCGCATGCGTTTTCTCCAGTTTCTCTTTAAGTATCTCTTCTCGCCGGTGGAGAAGGGCTAGTCTATGGGCCTTTTCGGCTCTAGTGAGCTGCAGACCGACTAGTCGTTTTATCTGCGCGTGTAGATCATTGAGTTCTCTCGTATCATCTTGATTGGAGTCTCCTGTCGGCTCAGGCTTTTGTGCTTCAATAACTTTTGGTTTCTTTACAGGGGGTTGGCCTTTGAGCTTAAGACCAACCTTTTTGACTTTGGAGTAAAGGTTACTTGAGCCTGAGTTGTCAGAACTCAAGTTGTTAGACATAAAATAGAAAATGGCCGCGAAGAACAACACCAAGGCCACGTCCGCCAAAGCCGGATCAGCACAAACTGGGTCACGGCCCAAGACCAGGCTTACTAAAGCCGGGTCAGGACCGGCTATAGACTTCCAGCGGGAAGAGAATACTAAGAAGGTCACCCAACATAAAAAACCGAGAGACCAGTCTTTGGCGACAGGCCCTGTCGCCAAGGTGAAGAAGACTGCCCCTAAGCGCCAGGTTCCGAAGCTTGAGGTCTCCAAGAAGAAGAAGGCAGACAACAATGAAACGTTACGAACTAGCGAATTAAAGGAATCATTGATCCCATCATCCCCTGTGTCGAGCAAGTCGAAAAGCGGTCCGTTTAAAACGGCCAAACGGAAGTCCATTGGTTTGACGGCGAAACCGAGTAGTCCACCAAAGACAGCGGTACCGCGGTCAAAGCCACTAAACAAGTCGCAAAAAAAGTTCCAAATGAAGCTAGACCGAGCCCAAAATGCAGCGTCTGGCGGCAAGAGCAAGAAGTAGTTTTTTTTGCCTTAGCATTGGACGGGCTTCTCTTGGCGCTCCTCCTTGAGGCTGAGGCCGCTTGAAGGGGGATTATCTGTCTTGAGGAATTGCCTCTAGCGAATCATCTCAAACGCGTGTCCTCGAGTGTGATTGTCGACTTTTAGTCAGAAATTGATCGGTCTTTGTCCCGGACTAGCAACGGGCCCGCCCAACAGCCCAGACCATGCCGTAGATTATGACAGTGGTCGTACTGACTCGCGGTTTGATTTGGTCCCAACTAAAAATTCAAAACCGAAAACAAGTTGGCTGAACCACAACCAGGGGCCACCATCAGGGTTGAGCATAATAGCGACGAGCATAGTAGTGACTAGAGCACACTGGGTTTTAGACCAGTTGATCACAGGTTTCTTCAGACCAATTTTGATTTGGTATAAATGTTATCAAGACCCCGCCCCAGGGTGGAAGTAATCGAAACGCCACAAGTGTTGGAGGAGGAAGTGGTACCTTTAGCAGCGGGAATATTAGCTGCGGGAGGAGAGACAGTGGGTGACGGAAAGAAGGGCTTAAGTTATGGCGTGGTGAAAGATGGAACGAGTCCTAGGAATCGACGTTTTCTGATGCAAGTAATGAAAGTGATTGCCAGTTTGGCAGGACTGGCTATATGTGTTATTTCTTTATGGATCATTTTGTATGGGAATAAGGGTCGTATCCACACGGGTAACGACTTTTACAGCATAGGGTTGGTGACCCTGGGACTTCGGTTGTACTTGGCGTTATTCGGCTTGTCTGTCCTCTTCCTGGAAGCCAAGAGCTGGTTGCCTGAACATTCGGAGTTGAGACACTGGTTCTACAATGAGTTCCACTTCCTCGCCGGTCCTAGAGGAAAGGGACTTTATTACTTGCTGCTGAGCTACCTTTTGTTCTTGAACAACAACATCTGGCTTGTGCTCTGCGGTGCTGTTGTCTTCGCCGTTGCTTGTATCTACTTGCTTGCATCCTGCATGGCGAAACAGTCCGTCAAGGAGTCATTCGGAGTCAGTCCTAGCATGTTCAGGACTGCGACCCACAGAAAGAAAAAGACGGTTCAGATATCACCCAACAATATTCTCCATGAGATAGAAGCATTGAGCCCTTCCAACTACCAACCATACGGCCTTGTTCCAAGCTCCGAACTCGACACTGACCGCGCCCTGGAGCCCAACTCAGGGCTGGAACCGAGAGGCATGGACCGTTTCGGACTCGATCGGTCAGGACTCGACCGATCCTTCCCGGGCGGCGACGCCACAAGGTCCATATCAATTGACCAGACGTCAGCTGCGAATCGAACACCCGCCGTGGCTCTCGGATCCCGACTCTCTCCCCCCGTACCTGCCCTATCTGTGCGCGAAGAGCCCAGAGTCCCTCTGCCCGTGTTCGACCCTGTGGCGCCGCACCCTGCTAGCGCGCAACCCCATTACTCGCAATCCCATTACTCGCAACCCAGTTATTCGCAACCCAGTTATTCACAACCAAGTTACTCACAACCAAGTTACTCACAACCAAGTTACTCACAACCAACCTACTCACAACCAGCCTACTCACCACCCGCCCAACAGTGGCCTCCCACTGGGACCACAACGGGGCACCATCGTGCGACCACCCCGGAAATCATCCAGATCCCCGCGAGAATTCTGCGGCAAGGCGGCAGCAGCAGCAACCATGGCGGTAGTATTCATCAAACCGACCATCGACTGACAAGCGACCAAGGACTACAGAGCGAACCGCGACTTAGCGCCCAGACCGATCATCTCATGAGCTACGCGGATTGTCTGCGCTGACCCGCGTTGCAACTCGGCCGAACACGGACTCATCTAAACATGGGCTTGGGCGACCGTGGACTCGCCCAAACGATTGTGGACTTGGCCAACGACCACGGGCTCGGCCAAACGACCACGGGCTCGGCCAAACGACCGCGGACTCGGCCAAACGACCGCGGACTCGGCCAAACGACCGCGGACTCGGCCAAATACGGGCTTGGCCACCGTGAAGTTTCCATTGCCGGTTCATTGTGGTGTTCTCGACCGTGCGGGGGCGCTCAGTCAACGAATGTGACAACGCACCCAAGTCCTCAATCGTTGGCCAGCTTCGACAACCAGCTAAGCCGTAGACTAGTCGTGGTCGTGGTCGCTGACGAGTCCGGGGCTAGTTGTCCGGTCAGCAGTTGACGAATGACTGTGACACTGGGATGAGCTGACTGGTGGAGTCGGCATTGCACTGGCTGTGTAGTCAGGAAGCTTGTTGCGGCACTGCGGTTGGCTGCAGTAGGCTGTAGTGGGTAACTTAGTTGGGTGTGGTGCTTTTTGGTAGCATGAATTAAAATTGGTTCGATTCCCGGCGATGGTCACGACCTCGGACGGAGACTACGGCGGGGACGGTAAATACGTGCCGTGGCGCCGGGCATGGCCCTCGAATCCTCTGCTGGATGACGAGAGTGAGGTTGTGCAGCGACGCGTCATGTCCCCGCCGATGCGCGGCGAAGAAGTGGTAGAGGAGGCGTTGCCGGCGCGCGTAAAGCCTTGGCTGATTCGGAACAAAGCAGCGGTCGAGGAGGCGGAGAAGACAGCGAAGCAGGAACTAATAGAGGAGCTGGACCGGATGTTCTCAGACGAGCCGGCGGTAGAGAAGCCAGTGCTCGCCACAGCAGCCGACCACTCGGCACCTGGCGGAACGTCAGCATCGGCTGGAGCGACAGCACCTGGCGGAGCGGGGCGCGGCGGAAGCTTTACTCAAAGCTATGAACCGCTGGACTCGCCCCTCATGCCCAATGATCAGACGGCCGACTGCGAGCCTGTGACCGGCGTGGTCGTGGGCCAGACTATCCGGCAGCAGGCAGCCGCGAAAAAACGCGTCAAGAAGGTAGCTGAAAAAAACAGCAAAAAGGCAGCTCGGATATCGTCTAAGACAGCCAATCCGGTTAACCCCGACGACACCCATACAAGTAACATACCCCCTGCCGGTGGCCCCACCGGTGGTCCTGCCAGTGGTCCTACGCGAGGAGACCACACGGTGGGTGGGAATCCGACAGGTGATAGCCCGACAGGTGATAGGCCGACAGGTGATAGCCCGACAGGTGATAGCCGCCAAGTCAATGGTGGCCAAGTCAATAATGGACGACCCGTGAGCGTGAGTGGCATGTCCGATGGCATGCGCATTGCCACCGGGAGTTCTTCTCCCGATGTCCACATTTCCCCAGAGCACATTTCGCCTAACCGAATGTCCCCTGAGGTGTCGCCGATGAAGGCAGTCGAGATCCACATCGAGTCGGCCGACGAGGACGTGCCTTACGTTTACTGTCGGCCGTTGCCGAATCCGCCTAAGGAGTCACTCTTGCCCGAGCTCAACAGACTCAGGGTTGAGAGTCCTCGAGCACAAAGCCCCACACTGGGCACCTGCGATCGTGGGATCGACGGCCGGAGGATCGATAGCCGGAAGACGGACGACCGAGGAGTAGAGGGTCGAAAGACGGAAGACCGGAAAGCGGACGACAGAAAAACGGACGACGGAAACAACGTGAGGGCCGATGGTCGAAAAGTTGTTGACCGCGGAGTCCACGACCCGAAGGATGACCAGAAATCTAGCACGGGGATGGCGAGTGATCGCAAAGCTAGTACTGACAGTACCCACACAGGTGGAAGTGAGAGCGCTAACAAAGTAAGCGATTGTACACGGTTTCGGCACGGTTTTCAGCACTGGCGCTCGAGGTTGGTATTCTAGACTGGTCTTCGTCACGAGTCCATGGCAGACGAGTGGCACACGAGTACACGGCACACGAGTACACGCTGCGAGAAACGAATTTTTGTTTTGTAGGAGCAGAGTGCTGCCAAATCGTGGTTGGAGCAAACGAAGATCCATGTTTTGCCGAATCTCCTGTCGGCGCTGGATGAGTAAGTGCTTCGCAGCCACAAGGAAGGGACAGTGGTATGGGGGGGGACAGTGGTATGGGGGGACAGTGGTATGGGGGGGACAGTGGTGTGGGGGGGGACAGTGGTATGGGGGGGACAGTGGTATGGGGGTCATTATTGGTTCTCTTTCAGATTTCGACGGGTGCGTTTGGTATTAAAGCAAATCAGTTTGAGTTATTCTTTACAGCAATTGCAGTCGCTGCAGTCGTACAATGGTGGTAACCTGATTTCTGAAGAGGATTACAAATTGTCGTCTCAGATGCTGGATGCGTTAAATTCAAGTTATGCCTCCTGCTTGCGAGATGATTTAGTCTTGCCCAAACTTGAGGGGTCTTACGTGTTCCCAAATATAGGCTCGAGATCGGACGAGAACCTGGTACATGATACGGCCATGGCGCAAGAAGCCGCTCAGGACACGGCGATGAGTGAACATAGCACGGACCAGAATGGTGGGGAGCACGCTAATGGGCCGGTCTATGCTGTGAGGATTGGAGCCGTTCGGTCTGGGGGAACGAGGACCGGAGCGGGAGGCAGGAGTCGAGGGGCACGTTCGATGGGCAATCCGTTGACCCCACCGGAACGTGTTTCAGACCATCATGGGGGTCCAACGGTCCAGGGCCCAACGGTCCAGGGTCCAACGGTCCAGGGTCCAACGGTCCAGGGTCCAACGGTCCCGGGTCTAACCCGGCGGTTGAGATCTGGAGGGAAGGCCGCGACCCCTGAGTGTATTTCAGATGCGGCAGTCTCAGAAACGGTTTCTGACATCGGTCAGACTATAAATATGAGGCCCACGGCTCGAGGGCCCACGGCTCAAGGGCCCACGGCTCAAGGGCCCACGGCTCAAGGGCCTGTGACACGGGCTAGGCGACAGAAAGTATTGAGGGCGAATCCGCTTAATCCGGGGGTGCCACCCAAGCGAAGAAGGAGAGGCGCCAGAAAAGGCACATCTCCCAAAGGCGAGGTTCTCAAGACAGATCTGAGCGAAGAAGGCAACACAGTAGCTGCGGGGCCAGGAACCGGGGGGGGAGGAGCCGTGGCAGCAGGAACTGCGGGAGCAGCAACTACAGCTCCACCAGGTGTGACGCGGAGTACGTCGGAGGCAATCCCGACTACCGAGCAGCAGCCTGCTGGTCAGTCGTCTGCGGGGCATCCGTCTGCTGGGCAGGCTGGTGGGTTACCTGTTGATCAACGGCCTGCTGATGAGTCTGCTGCTGAGCCGGCTGCTGAGGCGGCCGCTAGTCAGAACGAGAGGGGAAGCGGTGGCGACGAGGTTCCCTCAACGGCGTTGGACCCTTCGTATTTGCCGGCTAGAGCTGTTTATTCCAAGAACGAATCGGAGGTGGTGGATTTGACGGAGCAAACTTCTGACTCGCCTGACGGGGGGAAGTCGAGCGTTCCCGGTTCTGTTCCCGGTTCCGTTCCCGGTTCCGTTCCGATTGCCGGTTCCGCTGTTTCCGGTTCCGTTCCGATTGCCGGTTCCGTTCCGGTTACTACGGCGAAGAAGGTACGTCCGTACTGTTCATTGCATGGCGAGTTTGAACGGAGCGCCGGCGGGTGTGGATTGTGTGAGCAGCAGTTGCGCGTGACGTTTGCGAAGAACGGTTTTACCTTGTTGCGAACACACGCAAATGTGAGGGGTCGAACATACGAGTTACGTTGTATCCGAGGACATATCGGCGTGTATTCTGGTGTGAACCAGGGTTGCCAGGCCTGCCTACGTGAGAAGGCTGAGGCGGAGGCGAAGTCACGGGCACGACAGCAAGAGGAACGACGCAGGGAAGCAGAGTGTTATCGTGCGCAACAACGTGTGTTCGGAAATGGTCAACAACAACGCATTGTCTGGCCTCAGACTGATCCTAGTGGACAGGCTACTATCGACAAACTGCTTAACACACGACGCAGTAAACTCCTGCCTTGGGATATCTTCGGCATCAAAAAACCTACTCAGCAATCCCAATATTCTCATGCACTCGCCACTGCCAAAATCCTATATAAAAAACTAGTCATGAGAGTACATCCGGACAAATGCCAGCTACCCAACAGCAAAGAAGCGTTCCATATACTTGATGAAGCCTGGAAAACTGTACAAAGGTCTCTTGGCCAGTAACCTACTGGCCAGCAACCTGCGCCGGATGCACGCCAGATAGACCACACTGCGGACGCTGTTCGTCTGCATACACTCTGGACGCTGTTCGTCTACACACACCCTGGACGCTGTTCGTCTACACACACTCTGGACGCTGCATGCACTCTGGACGCTGCATCCCGGATGCGCTGACCCTTATATTCACCACGGCTTTTTAAGTGAAAAAGATGTCCTTATATTTAAAGAGCTTTCTTTCGCTGTCTCAACAACCAATCTCTTCCCCATCTGATTCATCTCCCTGATTCATCGCCCTGATTCCACTATCCATAAAATTTCACCATCAAGAGGATTCACTACTGGTGGCCCTAACCAAATCATTAATCACATTGGAACTGTTTCGTTCCAACCACTAGGTGCACTTGCGATTAGTCTTGTGCTTCTTGGAGAGCGCGCCGGGCGAGCTCTTTGATTGTTAATCTTTTTTCTTTCGGAGCGGATGGCTTACTGCTTACTGCCACGGTAGAACTCTCCCAGTCGTCGAGAATGGCCCTGTTCCGGCCTTTGTGCTTCGAAGCCTTCCTCGCTTTTCGAAGAGCTTCCGTCGGGTGCAAATCTAGATTCCTGCCCTGCTTCTTCTTCTTCCGCAAAGTCTCCTCCAAACGAGCCCACTTTTCCAACTGGCCCTTGGCGTCCACCACCGGCGCACGCCGCTTCTGAGATCCGGACGGTCGAGACTTCTTTCTCAGTTTCCGTCCGCCTTCTTTCGGCATATTTTCACAGTACGGCGCGAGGGCTAATTTATTTTCCACCTATACAGCCCAATCGGGCCGCAACCTCGGGCCACGCTGAAAGCCCACTTCACAGAGAAACACAAGGGGGGGGGGGGTGTGCAGCCACGGGTGTGCTTGCAGGCAGGCGTGCTTGCAGACAGACGTGCTTGCAGACAGACGTGTCTGCATTGTTGCGTGCTGTGGTGTTTTTGTTGCTTGGTGCAAAAACTCAGGTGCCAGCTCGGCGAGCGTAACACGGGTTTCCGCTGCCAACGCGGGACGTCCTAGCGGGTGTTGCCTTGGTCGAATCCAGCATGTGGTAGCCTACACGTGTGGTCTGGCCTCTACGGCGTGTTGTCACCGTAAGGTTTCGCACCTGGTCAGTCGGCGGGAAGGAAATGTTGCGTGGGGTAGGTTCCGAGTTCTCCATCGGCAGCTCCTGCGTTGTAGTCGAGTAGTAGCTGTTGGCCTTTTTTAACGGTCTGGTGGTTGGTAAGTGTTAGTATGTGATACTGGTGGTCAAAATGAAAGATGTTAGTTATGGTATTGATCTTGAGGTATTCGTCGGGAATATGGTTATTAATACCGTTGATATATCTGGGTAGGGAAGTGTATGGTTCGGGTATCAGACATAGTGTTGTGTTGGAGTTATCATTATGATTTACAAGATCATAAATTGAGTCGGACGGTGTGAAGAATTGGTTAGTATTCCATCGTCTGCATTCTATAACGCCTGAATACTCACCAATCAAGGTATACGGCTTCAGTGCACGTCTCAGACACAAGTGGTAGCCCAACACATCGCTCGTCTTGAACTGTATAGGCGGAACGAACCCTAAACGGCCAAATGTCTTCTGAAGCAAAACCAAAACCAAACTATCACTCTTAGTGAACTCCTCCACAGGCAAACCGCACGGATTGGTCATCGGGTTGTACACCTGATCGTCGCAGTACTTACGATGACATGCGTCCAACACATAACATGACTCTAGCACACTCTCTCCGAGGTCATCTAATTCACAAACAAATTCACGGAGCCAATCAAAACCAGGCCACGCAACAGCTGCTGGGTCACTGTCACCACCTGCAGGCGCATACGGGGAAACGTGTGAAGTCGTAGCCGGGGTCCAGTAGTATCGGAACATGTTCCCAAATGTATCCAGGTGCAGCAAAGTTGAGCCGGTCTCAAGGAACGATAGAAGACCCATCTCCGAGCGATATAAAAGCCGGAAGAAACCACGACCAATCTTGGCTTCCAGTCGGTCATACAGTTCCAATAGCTTGGGTAAGGGGGGATACAAATTCATAAGATGTCCGTGAGCGGGGGGCTTCACTATCTCATACAACTTGGTCAACCGATTCTGACAGCCGCCAGACTCATCGGCCATAATACCAGTAATAAGATTAGGTGAAGCGAACTCTTTCAGATGCACACACTCTCGGAAAATCCGACGTACCGGCTCGGAATAAAGGTCACTTCCTGCCACCTCATCGTAGGTACGAGCAATACTAGAGAAAACATATCCGACGACATGAGGGAGTTTCACTACACTGTCTAAAACACTAGTAAGAACCTCAACACATCCAAGGTCCTCATTACCTATGCCCAACTCCTCCCGTATTAACAGTGATCTGCACCCGTCAGTATCATACACAGCACTGTTGTCTTCCATAATGTTGTCTTCCATAACGCTGTCTTCCGTGTTGTCTTTGACCACATTAGCTATATTGTCCTTCAATGTCTGACCTTCTGCCGTACCATCCCTCACCATATTGTCATCCTTATTACCAGGGCAGTCGAAATCCGCCTGGAAGGCAAGTTCTTCATAGTCGGCAAGTTCTTCTTCATACTCGGCAAGTTCTTCTTCATAGTCGGCAAGTTCTTCATACTCTTGTAACAATAACTCACAGTGTACCTCTGCTTCACAATTTACTTCTGGTAGGCACGGTGGAACCTGGTCTGTTTGAGTGGGCGTTATTGAGATGAGGTCCCAGCGAACAGTCTCGTCGGCTAGTGTGACAGGAGGACTGATGACAAGACTGTTCAAGTCATGTTTCATCCACCGTGCTGCCCAGGAGTTTGATCTCTGGGTACAACGCTCTGGGAATCGAGCCGACGAAAGAGCTGCATGTATACGCGGTGGGGGTAGATGCGAGGAGGCATCTGGGTGCGTTGAACCATCTTGGTACATCTTGCGGAGCTTGGACGTTCGAGGAACCTGTGAGAAGTTACCGGGTTTCGGGAACCTATCGGGATTTGGGAATCTACGGGTGTTCGGGAACCTACGAAGGTTTGAGAACCTACGAAGGTTTGAGAACCTACGAAGGTTTGAGAACCTACGAAGGTTTGGGAACAGAAGGAAGACGGCTGCAGGGTAGTCGGAGTTGTCGGGGAACCGACAGTCCATGTATGCGCTTAAGACACACCCCGGACACCGGTAAACGATGTGGTCGTCCGGTCGGTCAAAGATCACTGAGAAAGCTCTCGGTCCCGAGAGCATATAGCAAGACCGGTGGATGCCTTTACAGCACCGGCCCTCCTCGCATCGGATCATACTGCCTTGGCTGAAGGAGTCACCACAGATGACACAGGTAGGAGCCTCCTTCCTCAAATCCGAATGGTAGCACAAGCTACAGAGAAACATCAGACCCGTTGCAGGACGGTCCTCAGAGTCTTGAGTCATAGAACCCTGGGTCGCCGAGCGTTTCATTGTCGAACCTTTCATAGTGTCGCCTGGCTCGGTCTGCGCGAGTTTCTTCAGGTCTTCGTTGTACTGAAAGTAGGCCCTTGGACACTGGTCGCGCAATCTAAGAATGTCCAGCTCATTTGGTGGCCGGGATTGGTACCAATCCACTTCCTCTTTACAGTCAAACGTCTCCAGCACCGCACAGATCAAGTGCACATTATCCTCGCCTGCGCTTCGAATAGATTCAATTAGAAGCCAGAACTACTTCCCCGACTAGGACCGCGACAGGAAAGGCATGGTGAAAGTCTCAAGCAAGGAAAGTTTCCAGTGAGAGTGGGGAAATGCTCTGTGAGAGGTGTCGTCTTCACAAACCCTGGAGACGTGAAGACACTCCCAGCTAGCGACTCGGGGAGGTGGGGGCCCAAACCGTGGGGGCCCAAACCGTGGGAGGTCCGGAACTTAGGGGAGGTGGAAGCTTAGCGGAGGTGGGGTTACATTTTTGGCAGGTTAAAATATGATCGCAGGATCTCTGATGACACACTCTGCATGTTACTTCAATTTGCCGCCCCACTGATTTCATTCCAGGTTCGTCCGTCCATTGAAAGCGCTGCACAGGTACATGTTCTTTGGTTACAAGCTTGATGCACATTTTAATAAAGTACCTCTGGATATTCTTCTACCTGTGCGCCGGCGACGATCCTCTACCCAAAGAAGTTGTGGTATGCTCCTTCACCCTCCTGGACCCAGCAAGCCGAGTCACCGACAAAGCCACCTCCGACAAAGCCACCTCCGACCAAGTCACCTTCGACTAAAATTCTTTTTCTCAGGTCGTCTGGCCGTGCACCTTCGCAGTATCGCTTACACCGCCCTACACTGAGGCAGCCAATGCGGAGTGCCAAAAATTGTGCGCCCAAGTTCAGATCAAGTGGTGCAATGGGTCACCCACAGACTACATACTTGACTGCATCCATGAACGCATGGCTTCCTACTGCGCGGTTGATCTAGGTGACTCCACCTCCACCTCTTCCACAACCTCGTCGACCACCACGACGACCACGACGACGACGACCACCACCACCACCACCACCACGCCGACCACAACCTCAACCACGACTTCGACGTCGGCAACCATACCAACTAGCACGTCTAGTACGGCTTCCTCAACGGAAGAAGCTGACACCACTTCTTCCTCAACGTCTGACACTTCCTCTCAAACCTCTTCTTCGGCCACGGAGAAACCCACGCAACCTACGCAACCTACGAAGCCCACATCGGCGACCACGTGGGGCCTGGAGAGACCTAGTTCGAAGGCTGGGGTTGGCTTGGCAGTAGCGGGAGCAACTGCGGGAGTTGCGGTGCTGATCTCAGCAGGATGGTGGTGGAGCAAGCATGATGCACAAATCGCTATGGACATGGATTTGACAGAGGAGCCGGCGACAGATGGTCCCTGGACAGAATCTTAACCGCAATTCCTTGTCCTGCGTTCGTGCTGAAAGCGTGCACACGTATACGCACGCGCAAGCACACGTGTGCGATCAGCTGACGGTTTTTTGGGCCGAATTTTGTGGCACATCAAAGAGATGCTCACCGACTTGAGAATACCGAGCAACAAGCACGACCTAGAAGCTGTGCGCCGCCTGGACGCAGCGGATCCGAAAGAGTGGTGCCAACTAATTGACGGTCTACTTGAGTGGCTACAAGACGTGAATTGGCCGGTGGCAATGCCTGTTGCAACATTGCTTGTCACACATGTCCCCCAAGAATTAACTCCCCACATTCGAAACATTTTTTGTGGACAGGACGAAACGTGGATTCTGAACTGCCTGTGTTATCTTGTGCCCAGACTGCCGCGAGGGCAAGTCGAAGACCTAAGGCCGGATATCGAGCAACTTGCGACGACTAACTCTGACCAGGAGGTGAGGGACGGCGCAAAGGAAGTGCTCTCGGAGCTATTTGGCGAAGGGAATACTGGGTGTGGCGAACTAGCGAGGTAGGCTACGTAATTCTAGGTCTTTTTGATTCACGTAGTTTAATACTTCCAGTGAGTAGAGAGGTGAGGGACGAACCGCTCGTTGGCAGTCCCAATTGCTCCTGAGATGGGTCCGCTTCCTTTGCTGCAGCCGTCCGGTTTGCAACCGTCGAGTTCGCTCGCTGAGCATTAAGGCTTCGCTGAGTGTTTTCAGCATGACCAGCGGCCTCACCATGTAAGTCCCCGTGGCGGTCTCCGTGGTGGGTGGGAGCTCTAGCCGTGGTTATTTGATTGAGAACATCGGTGCAATATCTATCGGATTTTCCTTCTGCAGCATCCGCAAGAACTTGCAATGTGGGTCCAGTAGATAACAAGTTTGCATTGTACTTGAGTAGGTGATGATTATTTGTCTGAATGCCGAACAAGGCTGACCTTGTTAGAGACACTTCCAGTTTGGTGCGGGCTTGAAGGTATTGTTGGTTCAGGTCGGAATTATTGCAGCAGCCGGTGTTGGCCAATCGAAGCACGGGTAGAATAGTAAAGCTGAGACGTCGGAATCTTTCTTCCTCCAGAAAGGGTTGGCATAACGGGTTGAAGTTAGTTTTGTCGATAGATCTTTCGAATTCGACTGCCTTTCGAACTCCGACGGGGTACCGTGCTTTCTGCGACATGATTGGCGGCGGCAGACAGAGGGGTAGCCGGAATGGTACTTTGGTAAAGTCGGAATAGCTGAATCCGCGAGACCCGCATTGAGGGGCAAACTTAATCCATTCGTCGTTGCTCTCGACTACAGTGATACTCCGTCGGGGAACTGAAGGCGCGCCCGGTACCTGTTCATCTTGCCACAGCAGCTGGAGGTCGCTACAGACGCAGAGCCATTGGTGCGTGCCGCTAGCTGCTTCGCTTCCTGCAGGTTCACCCGGTTCGGTTCGGGTTTGGGAGCGCATCGCACACGTGTGTGCAAACTCTTTGGGAATTCGGCCACCCTTCCCCAAACAAGAACCGAGTACAAACACTTCGTTTGTGGTCGTCAGGACGGTCGGCAGAATCATCGGAATATTGTCTCCTAGTCCCAGCCAGTGAACGTGTCCGCGCGTGTGTAAAGTAGCAGATGTTTGCAGCAGACTTACGCTGGGCAGGACTTCGAGGTCGCAGGAGTACGAGATGGTTTTGAATCCATTTTCTAGGGGCGCGGTGCTTGTGTGCAGGTCTACGTCCAAATAGTTTTTGGCCCCCCGGCGGCCACCCCGCTGGTCCCAGTCCAACAAAGTAGCCTCCACATGCAGCTCGCTGGACTTGGTCTGAAGCAGGACAGTGAACACTAAGTCTTTGGCGACCAGGGACACAGCGTTGGGGCACTGCCATTGGCTCAGCAGGACACCGGCCTCCGCGAAGACACGAAGTGTATGGTGGGGGGCGTCCGAGACGCATACGACAAAGCCCGAGCCAACTGCGACCAGCGAGAGAGATTCGCCGGCGGGGAATTCGAAGACCCAGTTGCTGCCTCGCGTCCTGTCGAAGCTTCGATACTCGAGCAGGCTAGGCAGCCAGTCAGCCATGAGACCCGAGGTAGTGAGACCGGCCCGGCCCAGTGCAAAGCCGTGGGGACCCAAGGCTCCAATGTGATAGGACTTCCCTCCATTGGGCACCTTCAGCTGACGACGACCATCACCTGCGCGTCGACAGTCTACCTCCACGTCTCCCAGCCCCAATAATTCCAACCAGTCACGGCGTCGCACTGGCTGGGTACGGGCAGCATCCTCCGACAGGAAACAGTCCACGTCCTCGGCAGACACGACCAGGTAAATGCCGCCCTCCGCACAACGACTTAAACACTTCCGACAAACGCCACCTGCACTACCCTCCACGTTCAAGGCGCTTTCACCAGGTAGAAATGGCTTCTGGTACGAGCTGCACAATAGGTCTCTCCGCATACGCTCTACCGCCCTTCGTAGCGAGCCCAACTCCGACTTGAGTGACTGTACAGTGCCTTCCACAGTATCGTAGTCCAGAGCCTCATCCGCTACGCTCTCGTCCCCTAGGGCTTCGTCCCACAGGGCTTCGCTCCCCAAGGGTTCATCCGCTAAGAGCTTGTCATCTTTCCTTTCGCCATCGTCATCGACCATCGCTTCGTCAGCTGGGCACTCCTTCACACCCTCCTGGGCACCATTGCTGGAACACGTACCAGGCCCTCCGCCGGGCACCTGATTTGCACTGGCCGTACCATCCCTTGACGGTTCCACTAACCCATTATCTACTCGTCCCTCACGGGGGCGTGGTTCATCTGTAATTGGCTCACCGGGTACTGTACACTTGCTGACATTGTCACCCTTATCCACTACAATTATCCTCGACTTACCCTTCACTATCCTCGGGCTGTCCATCAACACAAGTAAGGCTCTGGCGTTGGAACGCGAATTAAGTACGAATCGAATTAACCACAAATGGCGAACTTAGATACCTGTTCATTACTAACTCAAAAAAATAGTAACAACACCCATGGCAGGCCTGCCGATCAATACCAAGCACCTCCTCGGTTCTCGGTGACAAGGCAACCCCCGTCCTCTTGGATTAATCACCCTCTCTCAACAAGCTGAGGCCTGCGCCTATCTCCTCACTTCGATTCTCTCCACGGGGCGGGTCTTCACCAAAAATACTCCTGCTTTCTCTAACGCATTGGCCCGCAGGCATTCCCACCACCATCCAGCAGAGGCTTGCCTACGTCATCGGGGTGCCGACACATATTCCCTCTGGGTCATCAAAATGTGCCCAACTTATGAACCGCGTAAAGGGCCTTACACGAACGTTTCCGCCCACACCGGGTGTCCTCCTCTCGCCTGTAGCAACTCGGTCAAAGCAGGACTGCTTTGCGGCCCAGAGGGGCTTTTCTTGGGAGAGTTAGGGAAATAACCAAAAACTCCATTAAAGCGTAGAAGACGATGTAGTCGGGTTTGAGACCGCTGGAGACAGACCTAACCGAGCAACAATCGAGCGGAACCAGAAACCTGGACGAGAGGTCCACCGAAGATGCTGCGAAATACTATAACAGGAACTACAGGAACGTGGGTGACACTGAATGGCAGCAAGCGAGATTATCTGAGATGCCCCTTAGAATGAGATTGATGGGCCTAGCGTTGATGGCAGTTGAAGGTGTGTATAGCCTAAACGAGGCAGGATTTGAGATTAGCCTCACGGAACGTGCACGTCCCCTATCTGCTGTCTTCCTCAGGGTGCAGTTCAGGACCGCCTGCGCACTGCTCTTGCACAAACTACTTACATTCACACATTCCTTATCCACCACACACCATCTCCACACATCCGATCGGACAGCCAACAGCATCAACTACGAGGGGCTTCATCCTCGCGACACCGCCCGCCACGGTTTCTCTTCAATTCGCGTCTCTGCACAGCGGATATCCAATAGCTGTCATGCTCTTGGGTTTCTACACAGCAATGACTTGACGCCGTCGGTCCTTTCGCTTCTGTCCTTTTGCCTGTTGGCTCATCTTCACCCGTGCCACTATCCCTCTTGACCCGCACAACCTGGGTCCGCACTCTACTCCAACACAGTGATCCGCGTGGGACAACCGGTAGCAGAATGCAGAAGGATTGTTCAACACGAAAGGTCAAGGTGCACCTGATAAGACAGATCTAGACAAGATGACGATAAGCTTCGACAATGTGTTTCGGACAATAAGACTGGTATCTAGCTTTGTAAAATGATGACGCTAAAGTCTCGGTCTTCGAACGACTCTGAGGAAAATTTTCCTGTTCGTCCGAGCCTGAACCGCATCCACCTGCGCAGCAACATCTGTTCGGTGTCGACTGCCGGCAACTGAAGCTCCGAACGAGCCTGCGAAGACGCTAAGAGACGTTACGTCGCTTCACTGCATTGTTTTCAATAAGGGCTCACTCCGTTGGTCTCGACAGTGTTTCAAAAAGTATTGAAAGAGGCAACCATCTGCCCAACCCTCAGGAAGGAATTAAGGGACGTAAACCTTTTTTCGCACTCCACAGTTCAAGGAGGATTGAATGGTACCAGGCACACCGAGAGCACACCGAGATAAACACATGTGCTACCGTTAACTTGTTTAAATAACCTAAAATCAGTTAAAAATACCAGTAAAAACGTTTCTAATGTCTAACCAAGTCTGCAGAATGTCTGCTGACCGATGACACACTGAGCCAACGCATCTGCCGTGGACGCTCCAGGACACCAGGGAGCCAGTTCACCTCCAGGGCCATAGGAAGCACAGTACCCTTTGCACGTATCGACCCATTGGGATTCGGAAGTCAATAAGTTCTGGCAACCGGATACGGCGTCTCCACCACCGTTACCACTCGCCGGTGTGGTAGCAGGAACGGGAGCCGGTGTGGTAGCAGGAAGGGGAGCCGGTGTAGTAGTAGGAACCATTGGGGCGGCCGTCGTGACTATCGCTGGCGGCTGGTAGGGAGTGGTAGTAGGAGCGACGGGGGCGGGCGGTCGTAACGGGAGGCTGA